AATAAACCCAACGGGGTCACACTGAAAGGTGATGATAGCGTGCACACACACACACACACACACACACACAGAGAGAGAGAGAGAGAGAGAGAGAACAAGTTCAGAATCAAAGAAGAGGCTTTATATTAAAATGAAAAGGGAAACAAAAAAAGAGAGTACTATTGTAACCAACAAACGAAAAACCCTATTAAAATAGAACATGAGTCAGAAGGAGGAGGTTAAAAAAAAAGGGTACCTTTTAAGCAGAAACAAAATGTTGAGGAGGTAGGTATGGAAAATGCCATGGCAAGAGTGAGTATTTCGTAAAACCCCAGATTAACAAATTGGTGTAGAGAGTGATGGAAGTTAGAACCTGTGACTTATATTACAGTGAGAGAGAGAGAGAGAGAGAGACAGGTTCTCTTTTTTCCCGTATTCCGAGGTAATGTGTTTGGTTTGAAAATGAAAAGCCCCACCCTTTGTTTTGTTTGGTTACTTTGTGTTGTGTGTTTGGTTGTCCTTGTGTCTTGTGGCGGCGTTGTGATGGTAATCGACATTATTTACGAAATAATAAAGTGAGAATTACCATAATTAAATTATAAAAATATAACTATTGAATCAACATAATCGATTTAAGATGAAATAAAGTGAGTAACACTATCCTATCTCATATATATAGGCTATTTGACCCATTGAAATTTTTTGAGGTTTTAATGTACCAATTTAGTATTTGATTTTAATTATTTACCAATGAAGGACATTTAGTGACTCGAATGGGACCCAGCATCAAGGAGTGCCTCGACCATCTCCCCAGGTCACACACACATTTTTTTTTTTTTTCAATTGAGTGACGTCCCCCTTCCCTAGGGCACTTATATGATTGTGCCAAATGGCACAATTTCATTAGTCCCGTTATCGTAAACCTTCGAAAGGCCATACTTTTGACTCGGGTATCCAAATCTGATGATTTTTTTTTTATTTCACATTTCACATAACTTTTTTTTTTTTTTTGGTACATTGCCAGGAGGTATCCCCATTCAACCTTCTCCGGGCACCATGCCCTCGGGGTACGACCCGTTTGGGCTAGCCCCTCATTGTAACAGTGGGTGCACTAAGCTTCGCAACCGGAGAAAGGACGAGACTAATCCCCCAACCGAAGATTTTTTGGCTTATCCTCTGGCCCCCAAAGATTTTCCAAGAAACTGCTTGAGGCAGGGTTTGATTCCTACAGTGGATCACACACTTGTTGGAGACAGGGACACGCCTGACTATTGAAATGAAAAAGTATACAAGTGTTGAAAGGGTGAAGTCTGGGGACAACGGTAAACGTGAGGAATGGGATCTCCAAAGCTACCCGCCCTACTAAAAAAGTGCGCAACCAAGGGACATGCCGAACACCTACCTTTCCAACTAAGTCCAACGCGAGGACCCTTTCATTGACGATGCGTTCCGTCGTCAGCAAGCGGTGGCCGACAAGGCCCTTTTCCCTAAATCTCTTGGGAAGCGAAGCAGGCTTTCTGATTCTGAGAGAAAGATAGAAATCGAAAGGCAAAGAGATAGGCAAGCCAAACCAAATAAGGAATGTTTCAATCTTTACCTCTTTTTGTCAGCCGGCAATCATAGGGTAAGCCCATTTCATGGAGAAAGTTTACATGTTGGGCCAGGCTAGTTTGCTTCGATGGTAGGAGTCCACGCAGTGAGGCAGCCATTTCCAGCCCAGCCGAACGAATAGGATCTAATAGAGTAGCCCGCATTGCAAGCTCTTTTCTTTCCCAAGGAGAGCTGGTGATAGGTCAAGCGCAAGACATAGGATGTGAAAGCGGTTTGAGATAAAATATGTGTCATTGCGTAGATCTCAAAAAGTTATGTGAAATAGAAAAAATCATCTCATTTAGATACTCGAGTCAAAAGTTATGACCTTTCGAAATTTTATTGTAACAGGACTGACGAGATTGTGCCACTTGATACAATCCTATGAGTGCCCCAGGGAGGGGGCATCACTCAATTGAAAAAAAATGTGTGAGTGACGCGGGGGAGAGTCACGGCACTTAGTGACGCTGGGTCCCCCTCGCGTCACTCAACGATCCCCATTGGTAAATACCGTACATCAAATACCAGATTGAAAAATTAAAGGGATAAAAATCTGAATGGGTCAAAAAGCCCATATATATATATATATATATATATATATATATATATATATATATATATGAGAATAACATCTATCTTTTTAAAGGATATAAGTTTATATCATTTTAGATTCTAACCGTTGATTTCCGTCCATCAACGGTTATAATCTATTGGATCAAAATTATTAATTAATTAATAATAAATTTGGCCCATTAAGTTTGACGCAATAGATTATAACCGTTGATGGATGGAAATCAAAGGTTAGGATCTAAAATTATATAAGTTTATATCTTTAAAAGGATAGATGTTTTTTCCTATATATATATATATATATATATATATATATATATATAGCGAAAAGTGTTTGTCATTTTAAATGACATAACACTCTGTCCTTTTGAGAGAGAGAGACACACAGAAAAAAAAAGTTATTTAAATTTTAAATTAAAAAAATTACTCACTTTCTCTCTCCTATGATTTCTATTTTTCTGTGTCTATCTCTCTTTTAAAATGACATAATTTTATATCATTTAAAAGAACAAATACCAAACTATATATATATATATATATATATATATATATATATATATATATATATATATATAAGTTTGGTGTTTGTCATTTTAAAGGATATAGAATTATGTCATTTAAGTTAGAGAAAACACAAACAATGAAAATTATGAGAGAGAAAGTGAATCATTTTTTTTAATTTAAATTTTACATAAAAAAATATTAATTTATATATTTCTCTCACTTAAAATAATACAACTCTATGTTTTTTAAAAGAATAAATATTATTTAATATTTTTTAATAATACTGCAATATTCACAGCATAGAACTCGTGGCTTAAACTTCCTATATTCTTAAAACCAAACGCATGAATCGAACAGAATCTAGGCGTTAAAATTGGCTGCTTTGAGTCAATTCATGCATTGTTTGGTATGTTTGAGTGGACTAAAAAGGAAAATCAGATTCCATCACGTGGTTGGTAAGAATTAATCAATAAACGGAAATTATTTAGATAAGTAAATTTTGATGGGCCTCACCATTAGGAGTGAAATTGGATCGCGCCGGTCTACAGAGGCTTTCGGTTCGGCTTACGTCAGGTTAAATCTGACATAATATATTTTCTAAAATAGGTCGGACTTGGACTTTGAAAAAGCTTGTTTAATAAAAAGGTCGTAGGCCCATTTTCACAAGGCCTGATCTATAAGCCTATTGTACTATTTATTTTAAATAAAATAAGTATACCTTGAAGAAAAAACAAAAGATATAAATTTAAACAATTGCAATTATTTATAGCTTAATTATATTCGATTATTTTAATAGAAATTTGACTTTATTTCTTATGTAGGAGGAACCAACATCTCAGCATGTTAGATTGTGTATATGAATATAGGGTTTTATAAGAGTTATGTTGTAGGAAAAGTGATTGTGTAATGTTATAGAGATTCGTTTTGCGTGCCGTAATTTTTTTTTTGTTTCAAAAAGTGTGGGCCCCACAAAATGTTGTGTGTGTAGAAAACTTTGTTGTGTCATATTAAATGATAAATGCAAACCCCATGAATATATTAAAAGATTTTTTGGAGGGGTTATACTTACTACAAGTATCATGATGTGTTTGTTGGATTCATGTAATTATTTTAATTTACATAGTATGAATTTATTTGTTAGATCTGATGAAATATATGTTATTTAATTTAAGCATTTTGCTTTTGAAAGTGACTTAAATGCAGATTGTATGAGTTTTGTTGTGATTCATGATTCGGTTTGGACGTTGAATTGTGATTTTTGGTTTAGCAACAGAATTTGAGTATTTTGTAAAGTTGATTCATGGTTCTGGTTGGAAGTTAAAAATTAACAGGCTAATGGGTTAGGCCAGACCATTTGTTTTTTTACAAATGGGTCAAGCCAGGCTAACAGTTAGACTCGTATTAGGCTTGAGCCATGCCAAATTGAAATTTTTTGGTATAGGCTTGGATTTTTCGGGGCAAAACTTTGCCCAGTCCAGCCCACTTTCACCCCTACTCACCATAGTATATTTTTATGTATTTTTTTTATAATAAAACTAGGGTTTAATATCATAAGTGAAATTCACTTACTTTTATGTTAATGTGATAAAAATATACTAACTTCAAATGGGGTGCTCCAATTTATGCGGAACTCATTTTATTTTAATTTGTTAAAATAATTTAAAATGTTATACGATGAAACTAGTTATATTACAGAAGTCTATATAAAAACAAACTAATTTAAAATTAAGCTTAGTTTGATTTTTAAAGATAATTCAAAACTGATTTAAATATTCAAAATCTTGGTCACAATGAATTGACATATTCATTATTTGTTTTTCTTAAAAAAAGTGTGATTCATGTCATTTTGTCTTATTTAACTATTTCTTTTCAATCTAGCAAAAGAAAAGGGAATGTTAAGAATAAAAAGGAACAAGAGAGTGAAATAGAATTAAAAAAAAGGAACGTAGAGTTGCTCTTTTACAATCTATTTTTATTTTAAATTCGTTTTGTATAAAAACTAGTTTTTCAATGTAAAAAGAAAACTAGTTTTTCAAAATATAAGTGATAATCAATCGCCTTATATTTAAAAATCAACTTTACTGTTCCTATATATATATTGGGTTTTTAAATTGACAAACACTTCCGTAATAATTTACTTCCTGGACTAGTTTGTATAGTTTGAAACAACTTTGTTAGCTGATGCATTTGTCATTTGACACCTCTTTTATTAACACAAATTTATAAAGTTATGAATATGCGTAGTAAAGGTCACCGGTAAATTTCTCCTTTAATAATTTGACGATAGATGATTAAGTGATGATGAAAAAAAAAAGTTTATTTTAAGAGTGCATAAAAATTAATAGAAGGCCCACACCATTACTCCTCCCTTGCATATCACACGACCTTCTGTTCCTCAAAAATAAGACATCCCTCTCCAATCGACATATAGGGCTACCTTGGGATGAACAAACATGAAATAAGCATCATCAAAGACACATGTACTACAATTAATAACAAAGGATAAAAGTAAAATCGTGTCTGTGACACAAAAGTGTCAAGTGTCACCCCTAAGAGAGGATAGACAACATTTAAATTACCCCACAGTTTAACACCTTTTTCTTCTTTTCATTTTGTTAAAAAAGGAGGTAACATTTCCATCAATTTCACCATCCTCTCCACCCCTTTTGCTCATCCTCTTTAAACAAAGCAGTGTAAAACCAAACATGGGAATGAATAGTACAAGATGAGTAGCACCTAGTAAACTTCACCAGCCAAGTTGCTAGAGGGGATTCTTTGTCGTTTCTCCACATATCCAGAAGGAAACCATCCTGCTTTGCCATTGCATTCTCCTTCTGACCACCCTGATGGGCTCACCTGGATAAACATTTTGAACTTTGGTAAACATGGAGACCCAGAAGATTAAATCTAATTAATCAAGTAAACTTCATAATGATAGTGGTAGAACCAACAAATGATGACAGTATACAGGATAGAATGCATTGTTCATACTTCATACTGGAAATATCACTACACAATGGATACCATTTAATTACTCAAAATTTTCTCTTACACCACACTTGCACGAGGCATCTAGTTTTATAAAACACGGAAATTCAAGACAGGAAAAAGATCCCAAATACTCATTTTAATGCAGGGAGGACCATCATTGGAAATACATGACAACTTTGAGAATACAAGAGAATTGATCTCTCCAATGGAAAACTTGTGGCTCAATAACCAGCAAATAATTATCAACTCTATAAAAGGATCTTAACGACTCTTTCTTCCCTTATTTCCCTCAAGAGAACCATAAACCACGGCAACTAAATTGAACTTCTCTTCTATATCATTACATTTCTTTCGAAACAAATCTTCAAAAGACATACATGCTAAGGGAACAATTTTCCCGATTTAATATAATTATTTCAGCAGTATTGAACCCAGATTTGCAGGCAATATCATTGATGTAAAAGTAGTCAACATAAAAGGAAAGTATTTTAGCTAAATGTAAATGGTTCCTGAGAGAATAAGATGAAAACACACCTTTCGCACGACAACATAGTCACCCTTTGAAAAGCTCAGTTCCTTTTCTGATTCAGCACTAAAGGGATGCATTGCCTGCAAGAGATGTTCCAAGATCAGTTGATGAAGAAATAAATTACACAGCTTTTTGTTCATAAGACCTAATTCACATGGTCAGACCATATGATTCCACATTATAATATCATGAATCAGTTTGATTCCTTGTCTAAGCAATTCAGACAGCCTACTGATAGGGAGATTGGCTGCAATCATGAAAACCACATGATTAATATTACCTTCCCACCCTTACTTGATCTAGTTAGGTTAATAGAATCAGCTTTCTAGATATTACTCACACCAAGATGAGGAACTAGCCTTAAGAACTCTTGTGCATAAATCCTAACTAACAACTATCAAAATATCTAATAGGTAAACAACAAGACAGGAATCACATGGAAGCCATGATTTGTTGAAAGGATGCTACTTTGTTTTAGAGTAAACCCTTGGAAAGATTTTTGAAAAAATCAATTTAATCATCAAAAGATTACGAATAATCAATATGGTCCTCGAAAGATTAGAGACATCAAAGTAGTCTAAATGATAATTTTTGGTCATCAAATGACATCAATTAGGTCCCAAAAAGCAACAACTTTTGAACAATTTTGATGTCAAAAAACTCTCATTCAAGGACCAAATTGATGTTCCAAAAATCTTCAGACAACCAAAATGGGGGTTTAGTTTTACTCTTGGTTTATGATATGACTTGTTATAAAATTGTTATCAATATTAAACAATCTAGTTTCTGTTTAATTAATGTAATCATAAGTTAGTAAAATTCCTCATGGTGAGATGATAGAGTTTTATGACTGGAGAAATTAATCAGTATGTATGTATGCAAATTAAGCAATGAAAAATACAAAGGAATGAAATTAAGAAAAGAAATTTGTAATTTTTTTTTTTCTAATTCAGAAAATAATAGTAACCAAGGGAAAGATTAGGAATGTGATACATACTTCAGCCAAGAAATACATTGTTTTCTCTGAGCCATTCTCAGACATAACCACTGGAGGGGCAGATTCTTTCTTCTGTCTGTCTGAGACCATCTGAGGAAAAGTTCCAATGAGATGAAAATTTATTGATATTAAGAGAATGAACATAATTCATAGAAACAAACAAGAAGAAAAATATATTAACTAATTATAAAAAACTCAAAACTTCAGGACAGTTGGTTCTCACTTCAGCTTCGATTTCACCAAGAATTGCTGCAACTCTTTGATGAAAAGTCTTTTCTCCTTCAACCTAAAAAATTGTAAGCACAATCTTTTAAAAAAAAATCTGAAATACTTACAGGTTTAGCATAAGTTGAGATTAAAAAAATCATATGTATCATACATACCATTGCAACAAGCCTTTGAAAAGTCAGTCTCTGCTGTTGTGCATCAACAGCAGCCAATGCAGCTGCAGCTTCTTTACCCAGAACTGCCATGTTTGCTCTCAGCTCCTGCATCTTTGTTTCTGCAGCATGCAGTTTGGCAACCTGTTCAGCAGTTGGAGATTCCCTAACCCGTGCTTGTCTTCTAGAAATCTCCACCCCCTGATTGAATTTTTAAAACCAATACAAGATATAAGATTAAGAAGAAATAAGCAAGAACACCAAACACGAAAGCGAATGTTATAGCAGAACCATGACCTAAAAACCATGGTATTAGAATATAATGATTCTTAATATTCTGGGACTCTTATTAGGTTAGGAGTGACACTGAACTCATTCTAGTTGTATACTTGTATTACATTAGTAGCTGACCTAGAATATTAGTAAAAAGGGGTGATAGGTTAATATTTTCTATTTCAAATAATCAACAGCTTAAATCACATCACATTATTCCGAGTCCCCCAATTTCCATCTTTTCCTTGTCATTTTGACATGGTATGCAAAATCATCAACCATCACTTAGTCCACTGTTTTCTGCTATGCAAAATGTTAAAGCATAACCATGATCTAAAAAGCATAGTATTAGGATATTATAATCTATGAAGCACCGACACTTCAAAAATCCTGACGTATCGTGTCTGACACTTCCCGACACTCACCGACATTTCGAAACTTCCCGACACTCCAATACTCGTTGCAAAGACTCAAAAAAGGTTCAAAGGTTACGTTGCATTGCATTTTGAGTTCCAACTATTAGATTCGTTAGATTTCGATTACGATTTTATTGAGTTTAATATAAACATTTGGGATATCTTATGTTTCTTTGCAAAATTGATGGGTATTATAAGTTTAGCTTTATTTTTTTGTTAAATTATTGAATACTAAAAATAACATACGAAATTAAAAATATTATATAATATCAAAATGTGTCCTAACGTGTCGAAATTTAACATCTTTTAGAATTAAAGTGTCGGAGTGTCGTGTTGTGTCGTATCCTGTGTTGGTATCGGTGCAACATAGATTATAATTACTATTGTTTTAGGAGTATCATTGGACTCAGCTAGAACTAGTTGTATTACACATCGGGATGTAAATGAGCCAGGTTAGGCGAGGCTTTGGCTTTGATAGCCTAAGCCTATGGCCCTATGTAATACATTTAGAGCCTATACTGGCCTATTAGTCTATTACAGGCTTGATTTATAAGTCTGGCATAACTTATTATAAAAAACTAAAAAGACGGCCGGTAAGACCTATCAAGTTGCAAACTATAGTTTATAGGCCCAAACCATAGTTATCAAATGCGGATTGCGGCCTAATGCGGCCAACCCTCAAAACTGCTATAGCGTTAATGCGGGTTGCGGTTGCGAAAATAACGGAAAAAATATATATATTAAAAAAAACAAATTATATATATATATATGTATGTATATGTAACATAATAAATTATTAAAAAAATAATAACACCTAAAAAAATACAAATAATACTTTACTGTTTTACCTTAGTTACCTTTTAATGATGCACTTTTTTTTTTTTTTTGGATACAGAAATAGTTTTACCCTCTGTTACTATAACCAGGTTACTTGGTTTCCGTGACTTGTGAATCACTTTTCTGACAAATGTACTTTTCTTTTCTTTGAATGAAGATAGATCAGAATCTCTTTCTTTCTCACTTTCTCTCTTTTTCTCTTTCATCCGTTCTCTCTCACAATTTCTCTTTTTCTCCTTCATCTGTTCTCTCTCTCTATTACTATTTTTCTCACTTTTTCTCCTTTTCTTCATTATATGCTCTCTCTCTCCTCACTCTTTCTCTCACTCTCACTCAAAGCTTTGCTTCTTCGTTCATGGCTTCCACATTGAACTTCAATACTATAAGAGAGAAGTAAAGAAGGGAAGAAATGAGCGCGATAAAGAGAGCATGAGAGGCAGAAGAGAGACACACAACAGAGAGGCAAAAAGGGAGAGTGGGTTAGGGTTAAAACCATAAAAAGGAACTGTTGCGGCGACCGCTATTGCGATCTGGTGCGGCGAAGCTCCGCGAAGCGCAACTGGTGCGGCTTGCGGCTCAATAGCGCCGCTATTGACTACTATGGCCCAAACCAAACTAAAATATAAAAGATACAATTTCTTATTCACAAAGATCACATAAAATAATATTTTCATTAACAACATATGAAATAATGTTCATAAAGATCACATGAAAATGTTCATAAAGATCACATTAAAATTTCATATATGTATATATACATATAATTTGCACTTTCTTTACTAATTTAATTTAATATTATATTTTAAATTTTAAATAAATATTTTTTATTTGTTAAAATAACATCAATCCTATTCCTTTGAAAATTAGTGTTACAAATCATATCTCAGAATATGTCTTTAAGTGAACAATATATATCATAAATATATCATATTATTAAAAAAATTAAAAAGCTAACCTGAAGGCTTTTAGGCAAGATTTTTTAAAGTGAGCCTAATTTTTAAATAAACTTTTCTAAAAGCCTAAATCTACTTTATTTAGAAAATAGAACAGTCCAGGTCAGGCCTAAGGTATGCCAGAATGTAAGGCCTGATAGGCCGTCTGATTCATTTACACCCCTAATTACACATTTACACTAGTATTTGACCTATACAATAACTAAAAATAGGGAGTTCCAATTGTGATAACTGTAGATATTGATAATCCAATCCAAACTTGGGCTTACATGTGTCTCTGCTTCTTGTCTCATCCGACTATACCGTTGAGCAAGATGGCGAGCATCCTCCAAAGGTACACCATTGATCATTTGTCTCAAAGGATCCAAAACCTGGAAATTGAAACCATTGGATTTGTGTTTCTCTCCTTTTCAAAAATAAAGTGAATAATATTGACTTCGTTGGGGATTTCAAATGTTAGATAGACTTCCTCCATAGTATCAAAACATATAAATGTTCCTTATATTGGATTTTCCCCTGTGCTGAAGTGTGTCAGGAGTAGCATACATGTTTGATAAAAATAAAAATAGGGGGGCTATGTATAGGTTTTGAAAGTAGGAGGTCAATGTAATATTTCAAAACCTTAAGAGATATCAGTATAATTTACTCTAAAATAAAATGTTTTTGTAAAACCAAATTGGCAATTCTATCTTCAAAACTAGCTGCTGTGTAGCATGTTCTATTTAATATTCCAAGCTAATCTAGAGATCCAGGAGTATTTTAAACATTAGTATCTTATTGATCTAAATTTCACACTGAAAAGGTAATGCAATGTAATACTGAAATGGTAATCCTCATGTATGTCATATGCAAACAGCAACAGAACATGGCTATTTATGAATTAGATATCTAAATGAAGCCACATGAGAAGGTAAGGAAACAGTGAAACACTATAAGCTAAAAAGGATAGTTAAAATAGAACATGGAAATTTTACATTCCTCTGTAGCTTATTGAAAAGATTCTTTCACAGCTTCATCTTTCAAGCATCAATTCCTTATCATCTTTGTAAACAAGTACTTAGTAAGCAAACCAATCACTTGATAATTGTCACACAAAATGTGGTCATTGAGGGACTTCATTTGCTTTGTCTTCCAAAACCATAAACAGTCTGGCAGTGATCACTTATGAAAAATGCCGCATAATTTGTAGTATTATGTGGTGAATATCAACTGACAACTCTAAAACCAAGTAATTCTGTATTTGGAAATAGTATTTTATGAAATTACAAGTTCAACTTTTGAGACTAGAGTAAAACAACTGAAATACCGGGGAAAAGGCGGTGATATGTAACACTAGTGCACAGCTAGGCATACTCGTATAAATTAAAAAGAGGCTAGGAGATTAAACTAATAGATTCTTGTGTTGAACTTGCATTAAAACTTATACACCGGGACAACATATGAAAAGTCAACCTGGGAAGATAAAAGCCGATTTAATTCTTCGTGCTCCTTTTCTACATGTTTGCAAGCATCGCCATATACTGATGCAGCCTTAGCCAATATGTTGTCAGTGTTGTTCTCTGCTCCATATCTACAGCAATCCTCAGAAAGTTTTGTACCTGTCTACCATGGGTTTTGTTGATGAGGATTTACTCACAAATTGTAAGTCAATAAACAAAACTGGAGGTAGTTCTAATTCCAAAACACATGCTATCATGACCTGTCAGAGTACTGAATTTGCAGTAAAAAAGAAACAAAAAGTAATTTTCACCTGCTTCAATATGCTTAAAACCTATGGCTGTAAATATTTCTGCTGCTTTAACAATTTCTTTTTGGAAATCCTGGATCAGAAGACAGTTTCAAGCACATCAATAAACAGAACCAACAGAAAAAGGCAACTCATTGAAGATAAAATTTCTTTTACAAAATTGTTTATAATAACTCCCAATACAAGTATGGTTCAGAAAGGTTACAGAGTCCTGTTAAGAACTTCCCCCTTCAAATTATATGGTCCCTCCCTCTCTCACTACCTTACTTAAGGTTATGCTCCTTGATAGACCTCTCATAACTAAGGTGTATTCCAGGAGAAACAAAGTCAGATGCAGGATACTAATGCTTAGGGGTAAAGAGGGAAGCAATGAGGAAATCATTGGGGATAAATACCCCCTCTCCCCACCTTTTTAAAACCCGTATATACACTGCCAGAGCCTAGCTTGACTAAAGATGGATTTAGAAGCTGTTATTAAGACTATGTAAAAAGAAATGTTAGTCCATAAATCTGACAGCCACAATAATGTTATTCACCATGCAAGAATAGACTTCCCAAATATACATATAACATACTATTTTGAGTATATGAAGTGGGAAATTCTTTGTTGCTCAAACATAGTGATTAATCTAAACATGAACAGAAAATGTCTACCTTCCCTGCACGGGTGGCCCTGTACAGCTTTTCCAGTTGTTGATGTCTCTGCATTTCAACCTCATCAATGACCACAACATCTGAGCTCTCATAACCACTACTGCTGAACTGCTTTATTACAGCTTGAAACTGCAAAATAGTATCAAATTGTAGCTGTAAATATCTAAACTAGTAGGAAAACTAGTATTTAAGAGGGAGGAAAGAAAACATTAAGTAGCAGCACATGATCCACAAGAATGTCGCCAAACTCAACCCTAAAAAATAACAATTTATTTAAAGATAAGACCTTACTAAAGAAAATGAGCATCTTGCTGAACCCAAATTCCACTCGGACAGCATCAATCAAAACAAACTCATTTTCAAATGCATTTCAGAACAATGAAAACGAGAATTAAAATGTCAAAACCCATCATCAATTTCTGAAAAATTCGCCTACCCAGATGCGAATTTGAGAAGAAAATCATGGCACTTGAGGTTACAAAACAGAAAAAGCGAAACTTGAAAAATGGGTCAGCAAGGGAAACCAAACCTGTTGTTGTTTGGCAACTTGCTCTCTTAGCTTGGTGGCTTGTTTCCTCAAAGCGTCCATGGCATGCGCTTCTGCTTTCTATTCTCACAGTCACAAGCCAACAAACAAAGTACCAAATCGGATCCAATGTTATATGAGAAAGAAGGGAGAACCTCAATCAAAGGTTGTCAACTTATGCTATTCCACTCTTTTCCATATCAAAACCTCAAAATTCCGAAAGTCAAAATAAAGATGAAATGTATAATCTGGTCCTCAATATTTTTGACCAAAATAATAATAATAATTTATCCGAGTGTAAAGAGAGGGTTGTTGTTCCATGATTTAAAGATTTAATTATTTAACACCGATCTACTTGAAAACTTCTGCTACAAATTTTAATATTATAGTAATAACCAAAAGCAAAAACTGGTTTTCGTCTCACATTTAAGAACAGAACAAATTGAGTTGGGTCTTCATAAGTTCTGACGTCAAAAAATATTTTGAGAAATGTGGATTAATGTAAATACAAATTAATGAGGTAATATATTTTTCAATAAAAAATTAAATATTACTTTTTACAGTATAGTATAAATCACATTTTTAAGATGAATTTAAATATATAAAGTTTGTATTTACACGGAACAAAATCTTTTGATAATAAATTATATAACATGAAAAAGCTTTTTAAAATTAAGAAAATGATCTTTTACATTTTACATCATTATTTACTCAATTTAAAAGATTTTTTTCCTTAAAATTATATTACGCTTGCAATAGCTGTTCAACTATATAGAAATTTAATTAGTTAAATCCGGTCAAAATAAACAAATTAATTAATAAAAAAGAAAAAGAAAAATGTAATTTTAATTTATTATTACAAATTATATATTCGTATTCATATTACACGTAATTGAATGATATTACAAGCCATTAATGGACTAATTAGAAATTTGAGTAGCTTACAATGAAAATATTTAACAAAATAATACTCTTTTCCATATTTATATTTCAATTCTATAATATGTTTGAAACTTTTTCTTAGTTCACTTTGAAGCTTTAAAGTTTAAAAATAAGTAAAAGTATTTGTCTTTTTAAATGACATAATTTATATTATTTTACTCTATAGAAAAGGTAAAATTCACTTTTTTTTTTGTCATCTCTCTCATAAGTTATCTCTTTCTTTCAATAAAGAATCACTTCAATCCAAAATTTTAAGGTAGCTAGTGAGGTGAGGGCCTTTTTAAGGCTTTATATTATTTTCTAATATATCCTCTCAGACAAGAGTTTTTTGGACCTGAAGCGTGGATTATTATATAGGTTCAATTTTTAGTTTACCTTATACTCATTTAATTTTACGAGTGAAAGGTGGAGAATCGAACTCGTCACTTAAACTCTAATATAAAAAATCACTTCAATAAAAAAAAAAAAAACAGGTATTAAGTGAGTACTTTTTGAAGAATTTATATTATTCTCTTGCACTTTAACTCTAAATGACACAATTTTACTTCAATTAAAATCACAAACACTTTTCCGAAAATACGACACAATCTCATCCTTTTCACTTGCAAAATAGGTCTCTTAGCTGTCTCACTGTCACTGAATATACTCAGAACACAAAGGAAGCATATCTATGAGCTGGTGAAGGAGATGCACTCTCTGTTTCAATGACCCATTAGCTGTTATTTTCACTGTGAAAATCTCTCTGTAAATTTGAGTCGCTGTCTATGTTCCAAGTTTGTACCTTTATTGTCCCCACTCCAAAAGTTAAAGAGAGATCGAGTGATTGAGGCACTGAGGGGACAGAGTGGTAACACCCCGCCATCTGTGGCTCCTATTTCACTCTCTATCTAACTCCAAATCCAATCATGCCTTCAGGTGCTAAGAAGAGAAAAGCTGTCAAGAAAAAGAAGGAAAAGGAAAGTAACATCAACCCATCAACCAATAACCCTCAAGGTACCTGACCCTATATGCTATATATATTATATATATATATATATATATATTTGGTTCAGAGCTTTATCAATGCATGTGCAATTAACTGGCAATTAATCATAGATGGGTCCTTTTCAATTAGATTATAGATTATATCTGTTTGTTTTTGTTTTTTTTTGTGGGGGGGTCTTTTTGGTCAATTTGGGTAGATGGGTATATATTCATTATTCTTCATTTGCAAGAATTTGATTGGGATTTTTTTGGGGAATATGCAGCTTTGGTTGATTGTATTTGGGGTAGTTGTGTACTTGGGTATATGTCATTTTGGTTGGTTTGCTTGAGAATAGTTTGATTGATTATATAACAAATGTTAGGAAATGATGACCTGAAGTCTCAAGATGAGAAAGGAAGTGATGGTGGTGAGGCTAGTTCACCTGCATATGATGACCATGATGATCATCGTCATCCATTCAATGATGGGAGTAAAGAATTGGAAGAGAGAGACCCATCAGCTGCTCAACCATATGCTTCTGATGCCAAGTCCATGGAAGAAGTTCCTAGTGATGTTAAGATTGACAATGTGTTTGGAGAAAAGGAGGATAGTGTTGTTATGATAGAGAGAGATTTGAAATCCGAGGAGAGTTCTGAGAGAAAAAATGTAGGATTGGAGCACATTGAGACTGCCAAGGAATCATGTTATGGGAATGGTACTTCAAATGGTGAATCCCTTACTGAGAAAAACTCGAAGGATGAGAATTACAATTCATTTGAAGAGGCAATTGCATGTCATGAGTTGGTTAAATCCATTGATTCTTCACCTTCCGAAATGACTTTGATTACTAAAAATGCACCAGTTGTGGAGACTGATGATTCAGCTGCTGAATCTTCTGTTAATTCAGTTAAGGCCGTGGCTTCTGTGTCTGAGGTAGAAAACAATGATACTGGAAGTGTATTACTAGAGAAGTCAGCAATCCCTCCTGTAGAAGTGACCAATCACACTATGAAGATAAATGAGGATAATGTATATCCCTTAACCGATGAGAATGCTACAACATCAAGTTTGGAGGAACCTAAGCGTAAGGAATATGATAGTAAAGTGTTAGCTTCATTGTCTGCTAGTCCTCCTTTCACTAAATTTACTAATGGAGGAGAAAACATTAAAGATTCTGATACTCCAGAATGCTCTGAAAATCAGGTTTTGCATTTTCTCATGTACACAAGTTTCACTCACACAATTATGGTTTGTGAATTTTTTTGTTAAAAAATCATTTTAAATCTATTTTTCTTTTCTGAATTGATATGCAGCATCATGCAGCATCAGCTCCACATATTGTGCAAAAGACCTCATGGTTGAGTTGCTGTGGATTGTTTGAAGTTCTGTCAGGTTCTAATAGATAATTTTCAGGTTCCAACATTGAAGTTATTTTATCTTGTAAAATCATATTTGCTAGAATTCCCTTCCAACTTAAAAGGTTGTACTTGCTGAAACACATATGCTCCCCTCCTGTGTGCTTGCTGGAATTGTTCTTGTTTGTTATTTGGTTTGTCTTGTCAGGTTCATGGTTCAAATAGTTCACAAAGATATATTATTTTTTTCATGCTTTTTAGCTCTTTAGACAGTCCTGCGTTGGTAGTGAGGTTTAATTCCATCCCACGGATAAACGACTGAAGATTTCCTAATAATTTTGCGCATGGATTGCATTCTAGAAAACTTCACAGCTTTATACCTGAGTAAAGATCAAAGAGCCTTTTAGAAAGAATCTGTTATGCATCTATGCCTCATGTTCTTTAAAGACTCTTAAATGCTTATCAAGATGATGCAGCTAGCTCTTCTCACCCTTAGTGCAATTTATGAAGTTTGCCGCGATCAATGCTTACAGCTCATTCCTAAGAAAGAAAAAATTTAAATAGAAAGGTACAAATAATGTTCTCCTTGATCACTTTTGTACATGACTTATTCCTACGTCATACAAAACCAATCATTCAAAATCACACCACTATCTGCTAATTCTCCATTGACGTTTGTAACTCTGTAGTCTTCATTGGAAATAGAGAAACTCCACTTATGTATGTATGTATGGGTGTCACGCGTAACGAATTGGTCCTAAAATAAAACTATCTATATTATGAACCCTTGAGATTTTTCGATAGAGTATTCTCTTCTTAATGATGCGTTGCATCAAATTTCGGGTATAACGAAAAATAGGCTGGGGTCTTTGCCCATCTTAATAACGCGTATCGGATTTCAGGTATAACGAAGAATGGGCTGGGATCTCTTCCCGGGATCACATCTTCACTCGGATTTGGTGATTGGAAATACATTAAAAAAATGAATGAATCAAAGAGGTAATAAAAAGAAAAATAAAAGAAAATAAATACTAGCACACAAATGCTTTCCGCCATGGCCAACAAAAAAAGATCGGGTCTTACAAAGTTTATCAATAATTTTTGAGTTCGTTCATACTATAGTTTGAAATAATCATTACAATGGAATCAAGCTGAAATCAAACCCAGACATCAGGTCTTCAAACTTGAATTGAGCTTTATCAAGCTTAATATTAAAAAAAATAAAAAAATAACTGTTTTAAATATACTATTTCGCATTATATATTTATAAACACTTCTTCACTACAAAAAATATAATGTTATTAAATTAACTTGAGACCCAAGCCTAATATTTTCAAATTTATCTTCATAAGATCATCATTATTAACCACGTAAAAGTAATTCAAAATGAGAATTTATGGCATCAAGAATAAGATGTTTTAAGTCAAAATGTATGTGTATAATAAGCATTTACTAAATAAAGGGAGTTGGCCAAACTTTCCATATAATCCCATGAGTGACCAACCCAAGCCAAGAACTTGACTTCCAACCATTGTAAAATCTGTAAAAGAAACTCATAGTAATCCTGAAAACCACATTGTGCCCCAAAGAAGATAACTGGGCAAGAAGAAAAAGGAATTAGTTTCTATGAAGAAACATGGAAAGACAAAACCTTACCCTGATGAAACTAAGTCACAAAATTTATTACACATAACACAATGATAATAGTTCTTGTTAGAAAGGGCCTTATTCCTCTATTTCTTCATAAATTTTCATTCTGGACAAACAGCTAGCTACGAAACCCTTTTCATTCAGAAGAAACTATCGACCAATCAAAATCTATTTTGCAGGTAATTACCAAAAATGTATGAAAACTAACGAAGGTTTCAATTCAGTTGCCCCCTTCTCTGCAGTATAACAAAGGCATGATCCACACATGAAAAAAAAGACACTGGCAATAATTATGACTGATAAACTTCAGGAAGCTGAAGACCAACACTAGCAGCAGATTTTCCAAGAGTCCTTTTAACTTCATCTGACCTATCCACAGCGATATTGTATGAGAAAAGCAAATCCTGCAAAATTGTCAACAATGATGAATGGTCAAAAAAGCCATATACAGATTAAATGTGTTGCAAAGTATAATTATTTACACATCACATCATCATAATACCTTGTGATGGTGTACACCGTTAAGCAGGTAAGTATAATCACGTGCAAGCTTTATTCTGTGTTGGAGAGCCACCGGATCGGAGACATTACGGTTCTTACGGAACTCGGAGGATACAAATTGTAAGAAATGTGTCTTGCTATCTTCTTTACCAATATGTTTCTTCACCGCCTTCACAAGATCCCGATACATCTTCGCCCCTTCTGATCTCATTTCTTTATTACATTGAAATTAAATTAAATTTTAGGAACCTTGTTACCAGAAAACAAAAAAAAATTAGGAAAATAGGAAACACAGAAACAAAAACCTCTCTGTTCTGATTTGATGAGAGCAGCTCCAGAATCCTTCGAGGCTGAGGCTGAGGCTGAGGCTGAAATGAAAGCGTTCACGTTTACGTTTGCGTCACAAAAGAAAGTGTCGAGTTAGGGTTTTGGGTTATCTGGATCGTCCTGCTTGAGTGAGTAGGTTGAGACTTTTCGGTGGATGCGATGCGTTCAAGTTCCATGCTCCACTAATGGTGAAGAAGAAAATATTAGGTTTTATTTTTATTTTTATTTTGGTAAACGGTTTAAAATTAATTATATGATAAAATAGATCATGTAAATATATTAGTTTATGTTTAAATATGGAAAAAAAATGTTTATCTTTTTTAAATGACACAACTTATATCATTTTACTCTCACAAAGATATGGGACCCACACCTTTATATGGTTTTTGTCCATTTTCTCTCTTCCTTTATTTATTTATTTCTCTCACTTAAAATGACACAACTTTTCGTCCTTTAAAATTATACACATTTTTCTCTTAAATATGTGAACAAAATTACTCGTTCAGATTTCGAGATAAGCAGATCTATTAAAAAATTTGATAGGAATTTGGATTAGTCAGATGCCAATGGTTTATAAAAATAATGTTAAACAAAACGTTTTAGATTGGGAAATTCTGATAATGTGAATTATACACATGTATTCAAATTATTCTACACATGTATTCAAATTTAATCCAATAAAGTAAATGAAATACTGTAATCAAATACTATATATAATGGGGTTTACTTCTTAATTTTAATTCAATAAATCAATTTTGAAATGGATAAGGGAAAATAATTATTCAAATAAAGTAGGGGTTTATGTCCGTCATATTATAGGATTGATTTTGAGGTTCTTGCAGATACGTGGAACCCACTATTTTAAGGAGAGAAAAAAAAGTGTAACATGTCTTTTAATGGATCAGTACTAGTAAAATGGAGTTTTATCTTTCATGCAACATAATAATTGCATTTCCCATAAAAATATTCAGAAATAAAGGGCTGAGGTTATCCGATTATTCTATATTTTCTCTCGTATCCTTTTATTGAGAAATAGTTTTTTTATTATTATTAAAAAAAATTGGATCATTGGCCATCATAAAGCAATTTCCCAAATTTAAAATATATTTGTTAGGGAAAATACAGCGTCAAATACAGAAAATCGTATCTAGCACTATTAGTAATTCTCATTCATACAATGTGGTTGACCGGTATATCCACATCTTCAATTCCAAATTTAGAGGAATATCATATACCAACATATATGTCTATCTTTTTTTCTTTTTCTTTTTTGGGCTTTTGTTCTTTCATTCCCTCTTCTACATGAGTAATTCTGAATCACTATCTCATCTCATCACTAAATATTATTTATTGTATTATTCTCTAACCTCCACTACACAAACTTTATCCAACGAACATGTGTTTAAGGAACTATATATACTACAAGAGAGCTCATAAGAGTTGGGGATGGATGAGGTGACAGTAACCCAGTCTTTGTCAACCTTCTCAACAAAGGAATTTGCCTTTGGGATTGCATCAAATTGGAGTTTGTTGGTCTGCTTCGTTAACTTCTTCACAAAGTCCATCGAAAATATAATGTCAAAATTTTTATCTGAATCAGCTATTGTAGGTGAAATTTGTATTCCAATTTTGGCTTCCTGGGAATGAACCAACCCAAGTAGCAATGAGTTTCCACCAGCAATTCTTTCACTTGGGCAGCATAACTGCAAGAATGTACAACTCAAACGAATCAGGGAAAGGATATACCATTATTTGAAAGAAATGTCATGTCATAAGCGTTTCAGAAAGTACAAGTGCGTGTGCAAATCCAATGAAAAATAAATACATAATCTAATGAATCACCGAGAATACAGAACAAATTGCTAAATGTTTTAATTGAATTCAGTATATCAGCACAGTATTCCAGATTCATTCCACCTAATAGCATCTAGGCCTACCACCAAACAAACAACGATACAATCTGTAGAGCCTCAATTGTTCCTATTTTGAAAATCTCAACGGAAGCATGATTAGGCTGGCACAGAGAGCTAGCAAATAAAGACAAATGGAACACCTTTGAACAAAATCACAACCTCACCACCTGAGAAAGTTAAGATATAAATTTATCCATCTTTTTTTCTGGAGAAGATTCATATATCGTATAACAAACTTGCTTTAGATCATCGTAGACTGATTTACAATGTGCTATTACAATCACTCTGCACCTGCAGACATTTGCTTATATTACAATTATTAAAACACTGGGTCCTGAATAATTTTTGTGTTTAATGTTTTTCATTTTGTAGAAGATAAAATTATTTCACACACACATAAAAGTGTGTGAGATCCATATGGAGTCATGTGAGAAAAAGAGAGAGAAAGAGAAAACATGAGCCCCACATACTTTCATGTGTTCGTACGAGATAATTTTTATCTCCTACAACATGAGATAGTTTTTTTGCATAAAAGAAAATTTGACCTTAACCATCATAAATGTACACCAAAGGCTACACCGCTATCAGAACAAAGACGGAGGAAAAATCAGAGAATCAATAAGGCCTCCTATCAATGAGAATCTAAACTCTAAACTTCATTCAGCAATTTGGCTTTAGGCAAGAAGCCCCCCGACACTTCAACAATGAGTTAATCAGTAGAAGTAGATGCATCAGTTCAGCAACTAGAAAACCAAACAAAAAATTCATTGCCCTGCCTTGCTTATACAGTTATGTGTTACAACTTAACAAGTAAATAATATAATCGGTATCAATCTCAATGTATGCATAGTGAAAAGAAAAAAATAATCTAAACATCTCAATGTATGTAAAGTGAAAAGGAAAAAATAGTCTAACCTCAACGTACTCAACACCCATGTTCATAAGATTATCTGCAATGCTATCTCTTGAAAACAAGCTAATAAATCCCCCAGATCCAATAGGAGATTGGAGTATTTCCCAAGGTGACTTCATTAAAATCTTATACTTGCTCTGTCCCTCCACTAAACTGCTAACAACTGGCAGCTTCTCTTCCTCCAAAAACCATACCTGCAAGAGGGTTAAAATATGGAATCACACAAGAAGGCAGTTATATAAGCACAAGAAGAACTTGGCACTAGAATTCCATTTTAAAATATTAAAGGCAAGTATTAATTTATGTACAAATTGACCGTTGATGTTTGCAGATGGACCACCACTTTGCTTCTCCAGTGTAACATAGTATTGTTTATGGTACACATAATCATATCTTTAAGGGACAATAATATAAGAAGTTAAAGGTTACCGTAAAATTGAAATTTTCAGTTTCCAAGAAATGACCAAACAATATTCCAAGAAAACAATGCTTTACACTCATAATCTAATCTTGACAATGAGACGAGACAAAACATTGTTCGATCAAGAAGTAAAGGTAAAGAAGAATTTTAAGATGAAAGGTATTGCGGAAACTCAAGTTATATCATATGAACCTTTTCTTTTAACCAAAAAATCTGAACCTTGAGAATATGTAAATTGGGGAACAATAAATACAAAATACAAAAGGAGATCTTTGTCATGATCTGAACCTTGTCAGAGTCAAATGCAAAGTGATTGTTGTTTGTAAACAACTTTCTTAAAGATTGAATTTGTTGGGCTGAGGAAACCAGGATTAAAGGCATCAACACGCGATCTTTGACCTGCAAAAAGGGTAAATTCTTAGATGATGAAAAGTAATTTAGTATATCTTAGTATGATCACTTCAAAAGGCTTTTAGTCAGATAATACCTCACAAATCAGCTTTACTTATATCATCTTTTTTTTATATAGTATGATTAATAACAAATATTTGTTATTAATCATAAGATAGTACATGATACATTCTCCTCAAAACAATGGAAATGAAATGAACAAGTAGAACAGAACATTAAGATGATAGTTTTGCTGATCTCTTTGAATATTTTTTTGAAGAGATTATTGTTCTGTTGAAATTAAATTAGTATAAGATCCATCTGATGGAACAATTAGATTTTCACAACAATGAATCTTTATCAGAAGGATCTTTACCAAAAGTAAATAAACCACAAATTTACAACCTTTACAAAATTTTCATGATCATGGAGTAACTTTTGAAGCATGTCAAGTGCCAAAGTGCCAGTTGCTTCGTTTTCCACATTGTCAGAGTCACAAATGCAACCCTGGTTCTCGTTTTCATTCAAGAACAAGACAATAGCCATTTTCCCCTCAGACATGAGCTTAAGTCCCTTCTCTTGCATATTGATATCTCTGACCAACTTGTCTTCACTTCCATTTAAGAATGATTTCGCTGATATTTGCATAGTACTTATAAGCTTTGCTTCTAAGGCACTGACCAACTCAGCTTCATTCCATCTGATTTAAAGAAGTTAAAACACAAATGAAAATTTCAACCAACAAATGAAACCTGGGATAAAAGGAACTTTTTCTTTGTCAAGAAAAAAGTGCTTGGTGACACAAAGGTCAATGATGTTAACATATAGTTCAGAAAAAGTGAATAATTAAACTAAAAGATGCTAATATTACTATGATTTTAATTTAGGGATGAGTGAGATGTCCAAAACCTAGTATTTCAACCATCCTCTTACATGAGGTCATATTTACACTAAAAAATTAATTTCTCTTTTCTTTTCGAGGGGGTGGAGGATGAGGGTATCAGAACTTAAAATAACACTGGTTTACATTAGAGGGAAAGTTTGAGTGGCATCTATGGGGGGGAAGTTGGAAAAATCACGCCTAAGATGGTTTGGACATGTGACAAGAAGATCAATAGAGCCTCCAGTTAGAAGAGTTGATCAGATGTAGAATAACTGAAAAATTAGATGTAGGTGTAGACCAAAAAAGGCTCTAAATGAAACCATTACAAAGGATGTAATCTAAAATTAAATGGCCTCGATAAAGAATTGGTTTTGGACAAAACATAGTGGCATCGTTTGATTCATGGAGCCAACTGCCAACCTCACTTAGTGGGACAAGGCTTTGGTTGTTGTTGTTGTTATATTAACTTGCCTCTTGGCTGGCTGATCAAGACTTTGTAAAGCCTCCTGAAGCAATTTGGAGTTTACAGCAACAATCTGATCACTAAGCAAGCTCCTTTGTTCTTTCTCTCCATATTGAAATCCATGAAATATATGCTGTTGCTCCATTTCACAGAGTTTCTTTTTCGCTGCTATGAGACGCTTTTGGAACTTTCTCCTTTCTTTCCATTCCTGAATTATCCATAAATAATAAAGCATTTGTATCAATTATCCATGGTAAAAATCACCCGGTAAAATATAGATGTCACAACAGAGAAACTAGTCCATAAAAGGCAATTTAGTGTCCAAATAATTCAAGTACAACCATTGGAAGGTATAGCAGAATGCCACATTATGAAAGTCTAATTCCACTTGGGTTAGCAATAATGTCTAATGATATATGATTGTGTTTTTTTTTTTTTTGGTGGGGAGTGGGGGGGAGGGGGAGGATAAAATTGTGCTTTACTGTATAAGCAAAACAATCAACGTAAACATATACAGTTAAAAACCAATGTTAAATCACAAAAACCCCATCCACCCTCAATTCGCCTTTATAAGGTAGAGAGTAGAGACTGAAAAAGGTTAGCATCAGTAATAAGCACAAAACTTCAAAGATATTCAGTTACAATAAAATTTCCTAGAAGTAACAAATTAGTGTTGAAGTATCAAGAGAGTATGGCTCACAAGTTGGCGCCTTTCTTTTTTGGACCTCTCATCAAATCGTAAGTTTAATTCCAGGAGTCCCTTGGGCGGTGTAATATGCATTTCTTTTCTTTTCATATCAACATCTGGAACAATTGCTTCAACAAAAGGTACCAAAACAAGCTGACCAGATGTTTCAGTTTCTGCTGATCTTGGCTTGCCACTTTTATCAAGCATATCAAAAGATGAATCAGGCAAAATTTGTAGTAGGTCATTGGCTCCACTGTTGAAAACATTAATAACAGTTCCCACAAATTTTCCATTTTCCTGATAGGAAGTGGAATGGTCAACACCTTCAAATATTGCATTTAAGGATTAAAACTAGCAATAAGGGGACAAAATACTAAAGCAGAAAAATTAAAGCCATACAAATCTATAAAACATTATCTTTGGGTTATTGATAATACCCTCTTTTCATTTTTTATTACAATATTAGCACTTAGCATTTCATCTGCTGAATCCTTGGAACAAAGGGACAGCTTACAGTCAGATATGTATCTAGAAAAGAGCTACGTAGAAAAAGATTAATCCTGCTCCATGAAAGGGCACAAAGTCTAATTAATATGGCAAAACATACATTAAAAATATAATAGAAAAACAGCTGATGAAGAAAAGACAGATAAACTTGTTTTATTTAAAGGTGACACTTAAGCAAAAATTCAAATAATGAATAAGAAGGAGGGGAGAAAGTGAGTTGTTTTTAAATTTTTTGTATATACAATTTTTTTGATTATAACGAACCTTCATAAAAACTCTCATCCCAATTAGATCACGTGTGTAAAATTCACCCTCCTCTAATTCTGGCCTGTCTTCTTCCGTCACAAGCAAGGTAGCACCAACAAGCATCTTAGCCTGCATGATGTATTGATTAATTAGTCATGACTAAAAAGCATGCATATCATATGATGAAACAGGCCATGGCAATACAGGAAACATGAAGCTTCAAGTCACAACTAGGAGTGTTAGATCCCATTTGAGGGGCAGCAAAGGCAGGTCGCAATTATTTTGATAAAAGTGTAACATGTGTGTTTGGCATTGCTGCATCAAGCTGACTTCGAAATATATTTAATCAAAAGGTAAATTTATTAAGATGCTTCCTCTTTCTTGAATTAATGTAAACTGACCAACCAGTAAAAGACGCATACTTTACTCATCAAAGTGCAATTCATAAATGAATTTTCCATGTTATATGGCAACAACATAAAACATTGTGCCAAGGCTCCCCTTCAAGGATGTGACTAAAATGTGCTGCTAAATTTAGAAGAACAAAATCTAATAACATTAACATAGGGCAGGGTATGAAACATGAACATGAACATGAACTATCGAATTGAAGAGTATAGAGAATGGAGATGCGAAAGGTAAAAAATGGAGGTCAGTGAAATACCTGCTCCACTGTGTCAATTCCTCTGAATTTGAGTAACCAAATCTTCTGTCCAGGGTGACCTCTACCTTCCTCCAGCTCAACTTGTTGAATGGTTTCTCCACCCAAAACCTTATGCCTCAACCATCTTCTCCCAGGCTAGTCAATCATTATAACCCTTCAAGGTTAGTCAATTCAATATCCACAAAAGACAAATATGAAAGAAAATAAGAAATTAAAAAAAGAAAAAAAGAAAACAGCAATTTTACTGTGGAAAATCGAAGTTGAGGAAAATCACTGATTGATTTGACACGAATCTCGCCTTGAAGACCATGAACACTGGATATGTAGCCGATTTCAACAAATCCTATTTCATTATTGGTGGGGTCAACAACAACAACATCCTCTTGGGTAGCGGTTGCGGTAGCTGTAACTGTAGCAACAAAGCATAAGTTAATTGAATGAGAAAAAAAAAGGGGGTGAACATAATATGAATATGAAAGCATAGTATTAGTACCAGTGAGGTGGGTGTGAGAATGCAAAGGTAAGCGTTTAGTTGGAGTTAGAAGACAACGTTTCACAGTGAAATTGTAATTGAAACGAGATAGAGACAGAGGAATCAGAGCCTGAAATGGCCGTTGAGAGGTTGGGAGAGTCGTGGGCAGAGCCTGTATCTGCATCTTCTGCTGCTTGCTTCACTTCCCAACCATAAGAACACACATAAATATCACGCTCCAAACTCCGAACCAACACCACATTTTTTTTTGTTTTAGTCTCACGCTTTTACAAGATAATTTTATTACACTTCAAAAACCTTGACGCGACACTCTCCGACACTCCGACACTCTCCGACACTTCAACACGCATTATAGAAATTAAAAAAAAAGGTTCAAAGGTTGCGCTATGTTGAGTTTTTAGTTTCAACTATTAAATTTGTTGGATTTCGATTACTATTTTATTGAGTTTAATATAAATATTTGGAATATATTATGTTTCTTTGCAAAATTGATGAATATTATAAGTTTAGTTTCATTTTTTTGTTAAATTATTGAATATTAAATATAATATACACTACATAAATTAAAAATATTATTTAATATGAAAACGTGTCCTAACGTGTCGAAATCTAACAATTTTTAAAATTAACGTGTCGGAGTGTCGTATCGTATCGTGTCACGTGTCTGTATCGGTGCTACATAGATTTTATCTACTGTTGTGTTGCTCATATATTTTTTTTCTCTCATAATTTCATAAAATATTTTATTTGGTTGTGGGGCAGTTCATAGATTTATAGGGATATATTTTTATCATGTTGATTGAGATAATTGACAAATTGTTTCATGCAACACACAAAAAAATGAGTATAACTCACTTCTTTTACTCTCTTCTTCTTAGTGGGTTCCACTCACTTTTTTTGTATGTTGCATGAGATAATTTGTCTCATGCAACATGAGAAAAATATTTCCCATTTTTATTGGTGCTTAAGAAATAATTTTATTTTTATAATATAAAAAAAAATTATTACCATATTTATTTTTTGGGCTTTCAACTTCTCTTTTTATAATAAAAGTTTAGAATTTTTGGCTAAGAAAAAAGGTGAGGTCCACCTTATAAAAAAAATATACGATGCAAAAATTGAAATTAGAGCGGCACCAGAAAACACTTAATGTCAAAGAAGAAATGTTTTTCACTTATTTATATATTTTTTAATGGAAAAAATATTTCTGCAGTTAATACAGATAAGTTATTGCATTTACTCTCAAAACGATGTTGTTTTGATATTAAAATCTTAAAAAATTATAAATATAAAGACTATTATAACCTTGAAATAAATTAAAATTACAAAAACACCGTGAGTTAATTCTGTGATCCTAACTCGAGTTAACCAAAATATCCCGTAACTTCGTAATTCTAATTTTCAGAAATTCACGATGATGTTGGTTTTCTAGGTTAAAACCAACTATAATGTCTTAAAATCAAAGTCCACGTGCATTATTGTTACTATGAGAACTGCTTTTGACACTTACGTAGCAATTCAAACAACATTGTACTGGTGGGTTAGTCCAATATGTTATTAATTTATGGGAAAAACTACTCTTATGTTACATGAGAGTAGTTTTATCTCCAATAAACCTATCGAAAATCGTGATATTTTTTTTCTTTATTTTTTAAATGGCGAGCCCCATCACATGTGGTCTAGGGGTGTTCATCAACCGATCCAAACCGATTCAAACCGCGATGATCGAACCGAAAAACCGATAACCGAATAAACCAAAAACCGAAAAACCGAAAACCGATTAAAAACCGCAAATTTTAATTGGATTGGATCGGTTTTTGGATGGGTTGATGAAAACCAATTCAATCCAAACCGATCCAATATATTAATTTTCCTCTACCTACTTGGGTATTTCCCTCATCATGGCCTAAAAATTTCTAGACCCAAGACCCGTTAACCCACAACTAAACCCAAGAAAAATTGTAGAGCTTCGTATCTCATTGCCAAAATTTAAAAAATTATATTATAGTTTACTAATGCTTTTGTATTTCAAAAAAAAAAGTTACAAAGCCAATATATATAAAAGATGTTATTTGCACAATAATCATGAAATAAATTTTAAGATTTTTAAAAAACCGAAAACCGATCCAATCCAAACCGAAAAAATTGGATCGGATCGGATTTGAAAAAAAATCAAAACTGAATAGATGATTATTTGATCAAACCGAAGGGATTGGATCAGATGATTTTTGCTTCCAAAATCGATCCAATCCATACCGGGAACTATGTGAGTCTATAACATGAGAGATCTTCTCTCATACAACATGAGATTAAATACACCATTAGTTTATTACTCTAACATGTAAATCATAACTTACCGTGAGACATAGTCATTAGTCTACACATACTAATTTTTATGTATTACCATTATCCCAATTCATAATAATACTTAACTAGGGACATTTAAGAATAGTGTTCCGAGGTTAACTAAGAGGATATCATGATCAAGACGTGCATTTCATATCCCCTGACATTGAACTTATTATCCTAAAGACTTTGTTATGACCACTAAGTATGTGGATTAATTGTCATGTGTTATTTTAACTTAATTAGTGGTCTAAAGTTTGAGTTCAAATCCGAGTCTTGACTCAACTCGACTATTTGAGTAATTGATTAACAGGTGAAGAAGTACAAAAAAAAAAAAAGTTTGTTATGTTTATTTAATGGAAAAAGTATTTCTTCAGTCATCGGAGATAAAGTTATCTCCAGTGAGCTCAAAACGACATCGTTTTGAGATTATAAGATTAAAAAATTATAATGATAAAGATTAATATAATCCTGAAATATATTATAATTACAAAAATACCTTGATTTCCGCCCCAAAACGACGTCGTTTTAGGTTCACCGGAGATAATTTATCTCAATTGACTAGAGAAATCATTTACCTTTATTTAATTGAAGTAAATAACATAATGAAATGAAATACCACACATATATGGGCGTGCATATTATCCAATTGATTTGAATTATTTTAGGATTGAACCGAATCAATTAAAAAAAAAAACTGAACTTTTTAAAGAATTTTATAAACTGAACCATTTTTTGATTTTAAATGAGATTTGGAATTGGATATTCTTTGTCGCAGTGATATGGAAATCCATTATAACCAAACCTATTTTAAGGTTTAAATCTACGAAAAAACACTTCTTATATTGCATGAGAAATATTTTCTTATATTATATCGAAAAAAAAAAGAAATATTTTTTATGGTATGACCCTTCATTTGCTTGCAAAGATTTTTCATTTAATACGTGTGAAATTCACCAGTCATTACATGAGAAAACAATCAAAGCCCTCAAACACTTTTCCCTTTTATATTAATAAATAAACTTTAAATCACAAATTTCATTCACCGTCCATTTATTACAAAAAATTTCGTTTTCATCTCAATCATTGTTCATTGCAAGTATCTTCATTTAAAAATGCATATTTTTTGTTTTCATTTTTTTAAAAAAAATTAATTAAATAATAATAACTCGGTAAAAAATTTCTCTATTTTAAATTATTATTACTGAATTTAAATAAAAGAAAAGGGGAAAATAAATATACATCAAATTTCGGCCTCAAAATGATCACTTTTCTTTGTGAGGTTTGTATTTCAACAAAGATTGACGGATATAAGTGACGCGCCATTAAAATATCTGAAAGGAGCTACGTGAAACTATTTTTTTTTTCCTGAAATACATTTGATACGAACCTCGTTAACTTTAGAATATCTTTAAATTTTTTTATAAAAAAATTAGACATTTAAAGTTGTTTTAACTATCTTGACAAATTTTAGTGTAAGTATAAAGATTAATACATAGGAAGTATTTAAAATCTACTTACCGTCACATTATTGTTAAGAATAAAATTATTGCCGCTACCATGAAATGACACACATGTGTCCACCATTTACGCAGGGCCCTAAGAAATCTTTCGAAAAGAAGGCTTCCATTTGCTGAGATGTTCCTAAAGGATATTTCACTTTCAAGATTTTTCTTTTTTTAACCGCCAAATCATTCCCTTTTATTTGTGAAGTTATCATCTGAGTAATCAACTATTTGATTAATTTTTAATTTTTGCTAAGTCATAAAGTAGAAGTTTTGTTGAGCTAGTTTGATCTCTGAGTAATCAACTATTTAATTAATATATAATTTTTGCTAAGTCCAAATCATTCCCTTATCCCTATGTTAGTATACCATTTTTAGCTTGTTGAGACTATTTCCATTGTAAGAGTATAATTTGAATTTTCGTATTATCTACAGATTTCTTTATTTAATTTGAGGAGTTAACAAACTAATTCAACCAATTCCACTGTTCGTAATAATGATACTTTAAAATCATTTCTACCTTTGTTTTAACAAATATTACCTCACTTCAACAGCTCTCAAAAGCAATTCATATAGATGAGAAAAAATCATTTTTTTTCTTTTTTGCTTAATGATATGTATAATAATTTTAATGTAACCAAGCAGAAATAAGTTAGCTATTACAAATTAAACATTTCCTTTCCAATAAAACAGTATATATATATATATATATATATATATATATATATATATATATATATATATATGAATATAAAAAGGGCTTATCATTTCTCAAGCTGTTTGAGATAACTTTATCTTCGGCCACTAAATCATGACCGTACAAAGATGGGGATCAACGGTGATAAAAGAAGAAGAAAAAAAAAAGAAATCATAACCATTCAAAGGTGAATCAATAAATATAAGGAAATAAATAAACAAAATGACATAATTTTAGGCTAGCCGGAGATAAATATATTCCAAGCAACTTGAGAAATATTTTTCTCATATATATATATATATATATATATATATATATATAAAATAAAAAAACATAAGATACATTTTTTCATACAGCAACCGAAGATGTGAGATAATTAAGATAAAAACAAAATCTTCTTTCAGAAATATTATCTTGGTCTTTCATCATTAATTGTCTTCTTGCCACATCAACACCTTCACCTGACTTTTAGAGTGACCTAAGTTAGGGAGCCAACAACGAAGAGGACTCTACTTCCTGTACAATGCATACCCATATCAGAGCTTTAAATGCATAATGCCCCATTAAACATACAACATAATGGAAGAAAACGCAAAAGTTAATTCCGTTTGGAAAATGTACAGTCCACTGTAATCATATTCCGAGAGCATGTTTTACATTTAATTTAAAAGAAAAAACTTTAAAAATAAATCTAAAAATTGTTTGATGATTATATAAAAATTTTAGCTTAAAGACTCAAATTAAAAATAAGATGATACATTGTACAAAAAAAAATAAAAAAATAAAAAAAAATAAACTGATACAACTTAAAAAAAGCTCCTCGAACTTTTGGCTTTTAATTTTTTTTTCATTATAAGAAAAGCTCTTTTTATTATAAGAGTTTATGTAAAAATCTGTTTAAGCTTAAAAAAAAAAAGGCTCCGAAACAGGCACACCAAATGAGACCAAAACAAATCCTAAAGCAAAGAAACGTGCGGTAATACAAGTCAGAAGACAGTACAAAATTATTGTAGGCAGCAATACATGATCCACATTTCTCCAAAATAAAATTACGAAATCTATGACAAATCTATTTGATATAATTATACAGAAGTTTGAAACTAACCTTCGTGTTTTGGCTGTTGGAACAATCAATCCTCTTTTCTCCAGGCTTTTATATCGATCCTTTATAAGGGTGCAACAACCCTAAATATGTATCAGCAAAAATAGGAAACTTACTTGCATGTTTACAAAAATTGAGACACCAAAATAATCAAAATTTCAGCAAGAGAGATTAACAAGCCTACTTTTAGCTTGCGGATGGATCCAGTTATCTCTTCACTTAATAGAACTTGAACAGGAGCAGGCTCAAACCTGTTATGAGAACGGAATTGATAAACATTCATTTATCAAGAATCATAACTGTGGAATTTTGTTTGTAGGTTACTAGGCTCAAGTAACAAAAGCTCCATGAAAACCCAACTGGTAAATTTTTCAGTAGAAATGGCATAATAATAATTTGCTAATACATTAAAGTACAAACCCCACTCCCATAAGTATGCTACGGGAAGCAAATTAAGATATATACAAAGATTGCTTACTTGTGCTTTCCAAAACGTGGAGGGCGTGCCTTTAACATTTCTTGTTTAGCAACATGTCGCCTGAGATGTCTTCTCTTCTTTTCCTCATCTTCTTTCTCAATTTCCTGAATAATTTCTGGTATGCTGTATCCCAAAAAATGACAGATGCTTGAATATCATCTTTTATTGTAATTGGGCAGAAAGAGAGTGGTCATATTACCTATCAATTTCTTTGGAAAATTCCTCTAACTTCTTTGATTCCGCTTCTTTTCTCAGTTGATCTTTGCGTTTAGCTCTCTTATTCAACTCAACTCTAGTCACTCTCTTCATTCTAATAGGCCTGTCCCAATTATTCAAACAATATAAATACACCAGATGTTCAGAGATTATTGGGTTTAGAAAATAATACGCTACAAACTTATATTAATCATAAATGTACGAGTGTAGATATAATGCAGCCTGCAAAAGGAATCTATGCAAAAAATAATATCAAATTAAACATTTGCATTTTTTTTTAAAAGAACATCAGCAATGTGTTCTCTGTAAATCACAAAACATTTCATGCATGTAAGATGTTTAATTAAAATCACCATGAGAATAGGACAATAAGATTAAGAATTTGATAAAATACTTATTGCAGTGATCAACATGCATTAGAATGTCTAAATTCAAAGTAAAACACAAAAGCATAAGCAGGAGACGAAAAAAACAATAGGACAATATATTAATTGACTTGATGTGTATTGTATATTCTAAAAATAATACTAATAAATTGGGGTAAAATATCATAAAGTTAAGAAACAGTATTTAAACAAAGGCAGGATAATCAAACTTATGATTGCTTACCTTTTCTCTGATTCAGCATCCTCATTTTCACCCTCATTTTCAAGCTGACTTTCATCATCGTCACTCCCACCATCCACATCAAGAAAATACCTCTGCCAAAAAAGTAGGTTGTTCAAAAAACCAAGCCAGAGCCTCTAGCCATATAAATTTGCCAATCTAAAGCTTTATAAATGTGGCAAAATTTTCGTAGTTCAGTAATTACATAAATGAAGAGAATGAGACTCACATCTTCTTCAGCAATAGCTTCTCCAGGAACAGTTAATGGCACTGGTTCAGGGCCCAATTCATTTTTGTAAATTTTTTGCATTTCTACCGCAACAGCAGAAGCTAATGTATCCTGGTTTAAATAATTAAGTTTTTAAAATTCTTTATCAAGATTCATGATGAGACAAAAATTCCAAATACAAGAAGAACAAATCATTCTCAAGAAACTACCTGATGACTTTCAAATGAGGGATTGAATGAGCATCCTGGAGGATCAACCTCCACTGCTGGAATAAGAGAAGGCTTTGATACCTATCAAGCAGGCAGCCAACATATTATCAACTGAAACACTGAAAGTGCAGAAAAGATAAAATGAAATAAGAAATCCACTAATTTATAATGCTATAAAGTGTACCTTATTGACCTTCTTGTTGTCCTCATCTGCACGATAATATCAAAGAATCCCATGTTTAACATCCCATAATTATAACAAAAAAGAAAACCAATACTTCTAATCAATAAGCATACAAGGTACCTTTATCATCCCATAGATCAAACATGCCAGAAGCTAACATGGAATCATCCTGATATAGATCATGAGCGAGAAGAAATGTTACGAGAACAAATTTTTAATAAGGTTTGGGATGCAGAAGTTAAAAGAAGTAACTTCTCCATTCTGTTATTCAAATATGAATGCAGCTGAGCAAGTTATTCAAATATGAGCAACTCTACTACTACTTCAGTCTTGCTGCATTAATGGACAAGTTACTAACCTTATGATCATCTTGATTGGACTCTTTCATTTTAGAGACCACTTTACGGTTTTTAGAACACTTCTTCAGAGTAGAAGATGGCACTGGCATAACAAACCGGTTTTTCTGTAGCAGGCTATCACAATGGAGCACTTTTTCCCTGTGCTTTTCAATCTTCTTCTTCACAGCAAGATCTAGCCCCGTCAAATTATATATGTTCAATCACATCATCCAAGTAGGCAAATACAAATATATTCAACAATCAATAAGAATGCCAACCCATGCTAGCAGAAATTCTGGGAAATTTTTTTTCTAGCAATTCAGTATTTCTCATCGCAGCACCGATACCGACACGAGACATAGGATATGACACGGTACTCCGACACGTTAATTCTAAAAAATGTCAGATTTCGACACATTAGGACATGTTTTGATATTAAATAATATTTTAAATTTATGTTGCATATATTATATTTAATATTCAATAATTTAACAAAAAAATAAAACTAAACTTATAATACCCATTAATTTTACAAAGAAACATAAGATATCACAAATATTTATATTAAATTCAATAAAATGGTAATAGTAATTCAACGAATCTAATAGTTAAAACTAAAAATGTACACACCAAAAAAAAAAAAAAAAAAACTAAAAATGCAAGACAACTGCACCTTTGAATCTTTTTTTTAGTTTCTAAGTTTAAGTGTCGAGGAGTGTCAAAAAGTATCGAACACTACACGTCAGAATTTTTGAAGTGTACATTCTTCCTAGTTCACATACCAAAAAAATAAAAAGCATAAACATCAGAAACACAAAGTCTACGTTGGTTCCCATTACCCCTTAAACGCAAAACCAAAATAGAATCTAAATAATTAGTAAGGGGTAATTCATGACAAAATTTACATATCACTATCCACCCCAAAAGAAAAAAAAAATATTTAAGAAAAAGAGGAAGGAGATACCTTTGGATTTGTCTTCAAAAAAGAGGGAGTCGCTGGAAAGAGCATGGAGAGAGCCACCAGAGAGAGCGTCCTTTGTTGATTTCTCAAAGAAATCTTCGATGTCTTGGGTGCTGATGTTAGCCCTCCATGCCTTCTTACCCTTCCTTGACCCTTTCGCTTTCTTCCCCATTAAAACGATGCGAATGGCTGGAAGAGGAGGATGCAGCAGCAGCAGCTGAGCTTGAGTGAAAGAATAGTTGAGAATAAGAGATAGGGATGAAGGACGAAAACAAGTGCGAATGTAGCTCACAGATACAAAACCAAACGAGAGAAAGAGATGAACAAACCGAGTTAGGATGAATTTAACTCAGCACTTTGGGAACTGATTGCGATCAACAATAACAGAGGTGAAAATTAAATTTTAGTAATAATTGGATCGTCAATTAAATTTGTGATTTAGGGTTTCTTTGTTGATAATATTAGGGTTTAGATACGGGTGAGATTATATTTTATTTTTTATTTTTTTCTCTCTCTTGTTATTAAATCTTAACAATTAATTTTTATTAATATAATAGTTATAATTTATTAAAAATTAATAATTAATTAATAAATATGTTCCAATAATTTATAATTATTATATTGAAGGAAGTCAACGGTTAATATTTAATAATAAGAAATAATAAGAAAAAAAAGTAATAAGAATAACATCTACCTTAAATATGATTGTATAGGTTTAAAACTTACAAAAAAATCCAATTTTCATTTAAAATTAAAAAGTTGATCCGCTTACTAGGGGTTTAGTGTTTGTAGATATTAATTTTATCTCTTCTGTACACATAAAAATATATGGGATATTGTTATCAAAAAAAAAAAAAAATATATGGGATATATTTTCTTTCTTTTCTCTTAGCATAGTATCATATAAACTCCATATACTTTTATGTGTATGAAAGAGATATTTTTTTTATAATGGTAGGTAATAATAAAATCTCTTGCAAAACTATAACAAGAGAAATATTAATCTCTTTATAAAATCTTATAAAAATTCAATTTTTTAACTTATTGGATTCAATTTGATTCATAAAATAGTTCAAATTAATTGGGTATTATGTACGGCTTATATATTTAAAAAATGGAATTAATGTTTCTTATATAATATGAAATAATTTTATTTCATACACGTATAAAAGTGTATAGGATTTATGTGGTTTCAATCCCATAAAAAATAATAAACCTAAATTAATAAGGTCAATATACAATTGGCCTGGTATTCAGCAACAAATAATATATCTATTAAGAGTCTATTTGTCACCTTTCTTTTTTAAGCTAAAGCTAAAACAGAGAACTTTAAAAATAAAGCTGCAAGCTATTTCATAATTATATAAAATTGTAGTTTAAAAATTACATAAAAATTATTTATTTAAAAAAAAGCACATATTTTAAAAAAAAACTAATACAACTTAAAAAAATTCCTGCTATGAGTTTTTGGCTTTTGATTTTTTTTTTTATTATAAAAAAAACTCTTTTTATTATAAGAGCTTTGGTAATAACTTGTTTGGGTTAACTTATATTTATAAGCATAAAAGAGGTTGAAAAAAAGACCTCTTAAGTAAGGGTGGCAATACAGTCAACATGACCCGATCCAATCCAAATTCAACGCAACACAAATACATTCAACTCGAATACCACACAAATTTAAAATCGGGTTAAAATCTTCGACCCGAACACGACCCTTTTTTTTTTGCGGGTTAACACGATACGACACGAATAACCCGCAAACTCATAGTGTATTGTTTATTATATGGGTTGACATGACACGAATAATCTATAAATCCTAAATTATGTTACTTATTATGTGGGTCAACACGACACGATAAGATATGAATAACCTGTTTATGATACGACACGAATAACCTTTAAAAAAATTAATACGAATCAATTTCGGGTTTGCGGGTTGACACGCGACAAAACATTACATGACACAAATTTTTTTAGGTCAGTTTTTGTCGACCCAAACACAACACAAAAATGAAAATAGATTGACCCAAACACAAAATTTATATCGGGTTCGTGTCGTGTCATATTTTGCTACCCGTACCATAAACAGACACTAAAACTATTTCAAAATAAATTGTATTTTTTTAAATTACCAGGTATGACTTTAACACCTCAGAAATAATAAACCCCTATTATAATATAGAGTAAAGTCCCTTTTGAATCTTAAACAAAAAAAAAACGGTCCCTTACAAAAAATACGGTCCTCATTTTCGTCCCTTACAAAAAAAAAGTTAACTTTTTGTCCCTCTGCAATTTCAGTTCTTTGAAAACGTAGTCCCTAAAAAATTCAATGAAGACTCAATTTAGTTCCTAATATGGGTATTTTTTTGTAAGTGACGAAAGTGGGGACTGTGCTTTTTGTTAGAGACCCAAAAAAGGCTTTACTGTATAATATATTTAATTCACCAACTGCATTAGAAAATAATATATAAAAAGAATAGTATCTTTTGATACCAGTGTCAAACTAAAAACCATAACCGTTAATTTTTGTCAATCTTATAGTTATAATTTATTAAAAATTAAAAATTAATTATTAAATACGACTCAATAAATTATAATCATTAAATTCACGAAATATTTAAGATTAAAAAGTTTAGTATCACTTCCCCTATATAAAATATTTAATACAGCCCAATCTATAAAATGTCCAACTTTTTCCTGTAATACATGTCACTCCAACTTTTGCAAAACCTGAAGGTAAAGAATATACACATTATTACAACTTAAAAATAACATAAAACAAATGTACAAATTGAGATTATCTTATTTTCATATCTTTTTGAAACATTTATCCTTTTGTTGTATGACATGAGTCTTCTTTTCGTCACGTATCAAAATTTTCAAATCATTAATGGATTTTAACTCTAAAAACTACAATAAAAAGCTCTTTGTGAGTAAAGACAAGCTTTGGTAAATATATTCATATCAATCATAAGAAAAAGATTGACCTTGTTAATTGTCAAGGCAAAACACAAGGTTATTGGATATATTTACATACTGTATCGTTTGAATTAACTTGATGTCAAAATTAAATTTATATTTTATGAGTATTCAGGGAGCTAATTTGGGGTTTAGTCTATGTCCAAGTCTTAAGTGTTTATTTAGATGAAAAAGTTTCGAGAGAAAAGAAGGAAAAATAAAATAAATTTTTCATTCAAAGAAATTGTTTTCCTTATTAAGTGGTCATGATCTAATTTTCAGATTAAAATATAATTTAACTCCTCAGTTTTAATAATGTTTTAAATTATTACCTTACTTTTATATGTTTAATTGTTGGACAATGATTGTCTTCAGTTCAGCCACATGTGATAAGAGCTTTTTTCTACAGATACATGGAACTATGTGTCAAATTTATTTTTATTTTTTATTATTTTTTAAAAACAATGTTCCTACCATTTTGTTTCAATAGGAGATAAGATTTTTATTTCAGAAAAGTTTTCCCCTTAATTGTTTCGATTATATCTTTAATATTGTGTGATAGTAACCAATTAACATATTTACTGATATATGATAAAGTTTTAATTAATGATACAATTAATGGTAAAATATAGTAGTAGTAATAATAATAAGGGTATCGTGTTTGTCATTTTAAATAATATAAGTTATATCATTTTAAGAGAGATAGACACAAGTAATAAAAATTATGGGAGAAAAGCTGAGTGATTTTTTTTAATTTAAATCTTAAATAAAAAAATATTTTTTTTTGTCTATTTCTCTCTTAAAATGACATAATTTTATGTCGTTTAAAATGATAAATAATTTTTTCTAATAATAATAATAATAAAAATAAAAATAAATATAAGAAAAGAAGGCAAACGAGTCGAACGTTACTCAGTACCGGTGCCGTGACGGTATTCTCTCTCATCGCCCTCTAATGGCGGCGCTGTGCCATACACAATTTTCCGGTAAATTTGCTTCTTCTTCGTTCTTAAAAAAATCTATTTTTTCATTATTATTATTATTATTATCATTATTATTATGCTTTCTGTCTCCACAGTATCATATATCCGTGCCTTTCCCTCTTTGTAGAGATCGAGTTTTTGAACGCCCATGAATCCGTACTTATAAATTAGGTTTTTTATATAGCTACTGTATGAAATTTGAGTACTGGGAAACGCAACTGCTAAATACTATAAATGTAATTGTTATCATTTTCAAACTCTTTAAATGGTGTGGCATTACAAATGTATTAAATGGAACTGATAATTAATAAGTTGATTGAAGGAAAAGCTGAAAAACATTCAAATGTACTTAAAAGGTACTAAGAATTCCAACATATATTTCTCTGCACCATGAAAACTTACATAGAAAGAAGGGAAAGAAAGAACTTGGTATTTTCTCATTGATAAAGCTTTGTTGACAGTGATTTCAGAACAAATTACTTGATAGATTTAGAGAAGCTGTCACTATTTTGTGAATTAAATACATTTCATATGGTGCATTAGAATATTTCAGTAAGCTACGTGACTGACTGTGTTTGCCGTTCAGTCCAGTGGTTTATGTTTAATAGGTTGCAGTCAACATACAAAAAATTTAAGCATTTTGTCATTTGCTGAACTTTAACTTTTGGTTATATTGTTATTAAATCAAACAAACCCTTAGGGTTAGTGTTTAACAAAATTAAGCTCTCTAAGTGGTTTGCATTGCGTACAGAAGAAATGAAATGAAATGAAATGATGGCTTTCTCCAGCATGTATTGGCAGCATAATTATATGTACACAGTACACGGAAGCTTTTAAGAAAACAGAAAATTTTGACTTCATTTTTCTGAAAGTTATTCATACTTCATCGTAGCTGATTGGCAAATTGTTCTACCACTCTATGCCTGTTTGTCTCTGTAGTGTAAATATTGTGTAAAAATGACTTTTTTTTTTGTACTGCATTCTCTCTGTGTCATTTTTTGGGCGCCTTCTTGTATCATTTTTGTTTCTCCTTTTCAATTTTTTGGAGATTAATCATTAATTAAGGTATGTATTTTCAATAGTTATTTATTGGATATAAGCTTATTGCGAAGTAATTATCTCTCCTCTTTGTAAAGGTTATTTCCTCATCCAACCAATGTCTGCAACATAGCAAGAATACTGAGTTGCTTGCTGTCCATTTTATTTTATTTTTGCAGCTAGCTATGACAATCTTGAACTTCAAGAAGTTATTTCTAAGGGCTCATTGGATTTTGATGAATGGACTTTACTGATATCAGAGATTGAGAAAATATATTCTGTAAGTTTGATTCCAATAATTCAAAGTGGGTAATTGACTTTCTTTTATTTTTTCAGTTATTTATTAGATCAGCATAACAAGTTTATGCTTGATTTACAATGTATGACTATATCATAATTTCATTTGAATCTCATTTAATTTAGCTTAATTGAATTAATTGAGAAATCTAGGATTTTAATTAAACTATTGCCTTTGTTGTTAGTCTATAGTTGGATGATTCCTCTCTCTTCTTTGAACTATTGCAGTAGTCTGTTAGATGATTTCATTAAGGTAGGTTAGAAGTTAGATAGTTTTTATTCTCTTTCTCGGAATTTTTCTTTTTTAATTTTGTTTGATAAAATCTTTATTAACTGAAAAGATAAGTACAGAATCAGAGGAAGTCCTCCTGAAGTAGCCAAAATACTGAGGGGAACCAACTAGATGAAGGAAATTCGTTATAAGAACCTTTCAATACCTCTTCATATACAACAATGGAATTTTCCACATTACTGAAGCTGAAGTTTCTTCATATTCAAATTTTATAGGTGTTGCAGATGTAATACTGGTGATATTACTGTCATTATTAAAGTAACTAGTAAGTTAAATGATGGATTATGTAGTCCAAAAACAAAAAAGAAAGGAGAGTTGAAGTAGTTGTTAGATTATGCTTATTAAATTATGCCATCATCTGTTATGGAATACAATGAAAAATTCAACTCTTTAGTGCTGAACATTTTATTTCGTACTTAGTAGGCAGAACCACCTTATATATGGAAAAGCTATAAGTGTTTTTGTTTAATTTAAATCTCACTCTGCATAGGCCTCTTTTGAAACTATTTCACCAGTCATGAATGTAATAATAAATTATGAGATATGGTCGCAAACACAGTAATAATTATGCGTGCATGCACACACACACACACCAGAAAAAGAAGGCAGGAATGGAATTGTGTTTGGAGAAGTTTATTAAGAGGGAAAGGGAGGAGGAGTCTAACAGAATGAAGCTTATTGGATTTATTGGTATAATGAGTCTAATTGAGCCTATTTTTGCAGGATGACGTGGAGAAAATTTGTCTAGTTTATGATAATTTCTTGTCCAAATTCCCCTTGTGTTATGGGTATTGGAGGAAGTATGCTGCCCACATGGCATGCTTGTGTACAGCGGAAAAGGTTGTTGAAGTCTTTGAGCAAGCTGTGTTAGCAGCAACGTATTCAGTAGGCATGTGGGTTGACTATTGTAGCTTTGGTATGTCGGCTTTTGAGGACCCATCTGATATTCGGAGGTAAATATAGTTAAAGCGCGCGCGCGCGCATGCTCACTCACACATATTTGTCTGGATGAATGATTTAGGTGGAGTTCTTCCATTATATACACACACACACACACATATTTGTTTGGATGAATGATTTAGGTGGAGTTCTTCCATTATATATTTGTTTCCACACACACATATATAAAAAGCGCGCGCGCGCACATCCACACACATATATTTGTTTGGATGAATGATTTAGGTGGAGTTCTTCCATTAAATACACACACACACATATATATATTTGTTTGGATGAATGATTTAGGTGGAGTTCTTCCATTATATATTTGTTTCCACTCTTCCATTATACACACACACATATATTTGTTTGGATGAATGATTTAGGTGGAGTTCTTCCATTATATATTTGTTTCCACACACACACACACACACACATATTTGTTTGGATGAATGATTTAGGTGGAGTACTTCCATTATATATTTGTTTCCACACTCTAACCTATTTGTACTCTCTGAAAGCTTTTCCTATTGATTATTCTGAAAGGCAACGAGATGATTTTCTTGATATATTTTTGCTAGATTGTTCAAGAGAGCCATTTCCTTTGTTGGGAAGGACTTCTTATGTCATACCCTGTGGGACAAGTATATTCATTTTGAGTTTTCCCAGCAGCAGTGGATTTCTCTGGCTGACATTTATATCCAAACTCTTAAGTTCCCAACCAAAAAGTTGCATCAGTATTATGATAGGTATGTCTTCTATTGTGAAACTTCTGAGTCTTTAAAGCGGCTTTTAGAAGCTGATGTAAATTTGATGTTAAAACGATGCTTTTTTACAAGGCTATGCAGTCATATTTGTAATAATTTTTATATGCATTGCCTTGTGCTCCTTTTTTTAGCATTCTCCTGTAAGTTTTATGTTTACAAATTTGAGGACAACTTATATATTCGGTATTTCTGTTTTTCTTTTTTCCCTGTGAGGTAGGGAGAGAGAGGGAGAGCAGGTTGGGGGAGTTACGACAACATTTTCTGGTTTTATAGGCAATATTAGTAAGTATATATTGAAATTATGAAGTGCAAATATATGATTAAAATTGTAAATAGAAAAACAAAATAAAAATTACTCAATAAACGGATTTTAAAGTAATTGGAATTATAGATTCTTAAAACTATACATATACTCAAAACAGCTATACTAAATTATTTATTATTTTCTATAAATATTATAGTAAATCAAAATATATGCTAATTTCTGTTTTTTTTAAATTGGTAAACAAACCACCTGTGAATTGTTTGGCTGCTATTTTATATCGTGAATCGTAAGAGTTAGAAACATAATGATTAATGACTTGAAAATATATAATATCATATAAATCCAAATTCCAAAAAAATTCAAATAGAAAATTAGATGAGTAACCAAACTTAAAACCAGTTTTTGAGTATGAGTGTCTCTATTTTCTGTTCTTATGTGTTTCTGGCTTGGACGAAAGAAAAATCAAGAACAAATGTTCCTTGGTCAAGACGAGAAAGAATAAGAAATCGATTTGGGATCTTCTTAATTTGGATTTAGTTGGGAATTTGAATTTTGCGAAATCCACAATCTTCCGTTAAATGACTTTCCAGATTCTCCATAATTTGAATCATCGCTTCTTGGTCATTTCTCTTTCCAAAATCGTTTTGGATTTTGAATCGCATATCCTTTGATACGATTCGCGATACGGAACGAAATAGTGCAATTCTGCGATTCAAGGAACGATCCATGGCCTGGTCCAACAAACGTTTGATTTGTATCGTTTTTGTTCTGTATCAAATTGTATCGTGCGATATTAATTACAATGATCTCAGCATTTAATAAGTCAAGCTCAAATAGCTGGTGAAAGGATTGGCTTGACTAATATTAGGGGGTTAGGGTTGTGGGTTTTGGCAACTCTTTTGGAAAACCTGATTTTTAAAGTCAGTTTCTGTTTGATTCTTGATTTCGGAGCTTCCAGAGATGTTAAATAACTGAAATCTCAATTAATCTGCCTCTCACCTCAGTCAAATTTTAGTCATTCTTCGCTATTGCTTTTGCAATTTTTACTACTTTTTAGCTTATACTGCAGACCAGCCATTTTTTTGGAGTCTGTAATTCATGTCATTTATTCATTTTTTTAAATATTTTCTTAGATATTACTTCTGACACAACTTGTGGACGTGAATAATTGTTCTGCTTGTGGAACCGTATAAAGAGTGATTGCTTAACATGTGAATGGGTGTGTGGTGTCTGGTGTGTATTTTTATTTATATATACATATATTTGAGTGATGCACTTACCAGATATTAGTTCTATATTTCTTCAGTTTTAAAAAGTTGCTATCCTTTTTAGAAGAGGGCATGGGAAGCCTGGACAATTCTCCGAAGGAATTGCAATCTGAACCATGTTTTGATGGTGAAATGCCTATGACTATGTGTTGCGAGGATGACAAGATTGATTGCATTATCAAAGATATGATGGACTCATCTGTTGGATTGACCAGTTCAATAGCCCTAAAAAAGTACAAGATCATTGGAGAACAGCTTTATCATAATGCTTGTGAGTTGTATTCAAAGATTAGTTCTTTTGAGGCTAATATTCAGAGATATTACTTTCATGTCCGGCCACTTGATGCAAATCAGTTGCAGAATTGGCACGATTATCTGGATTTCATTGAACTTCAAAAGGATTTTGACTGGGTACTTTTCCGCACAGTACTCTCAATAAAATTTGACCATTGCTTAATTTATTTTTAGATGAACCAGGGTTTGCCCTTTATTAACATTGTTGGCTAAAATCTTCCATTTCCCCATTGAGTACAGGCTGTGAAACTTTATGAGAGATGCTTGATTGTGTGTGCCAACTATCCTGAATACTGGATGCGTTATGTGGACTTCATGGAAGCCAAGGGAGGAAGAGAAATAGCAAACTATTCTCTAGACCGAGCAACTGAAATTTATTTGAAGGTATCTTTCTAATTATCTATTGTGTTGATTGACTTTCATGTAAATGGTAAGCTTCTGCATTTACTTATTTTTCACCTGAGAGTTTCTCTAAAGTGGTCTGACAAACAATTGCAAAAGATAAGGGGTTTTAAATAATGCAAGTATGAAGCATTAAAATCATTGTTATATGGAAAAGGGTGTCCAAGATACAGAGACTAATGCATAATATCACTTTATAAGGGAAAAGGAAGAAGTAAAATGTAATGGTTATGGCATTGGCTTCTATTTGCTGCTCTGCTCGTTATTGATTTCAAGGAGTCTCCAGTTCTGATATGCAGATAGATTGGGATGCAAAGTAGCACTTCCTAACTGTTTTTTATTCATCTCCCTAAAAAGTTGTCCCTTTTTTAACCAAAAAGAAAGAGAGGAAGAATTATGATTTAGGAACTTGTCAACAAAATTTCCAAATTAACCATTTTCAAGTGGTTCATTAAATCTATATGCGGTTAACACATTAATCTCTATTAGGTAAAGGCACATCAATGATTTTATATTTTTAATAAAGCCCTTCACACAAGAGACCTTTGGGCTATAAGCATGGACAATGCACAGACCCATCCTCTCTTGAGGTGGAATTTAAATTTTATTGAGAAGAACGGGGGGCGGAATGATCAAACTCTTGACTTGATCGCATAAGCTTTGACTTGTTTAAATTTTATGTCCTACTGAAACTTGTTTAATTCCTTTCTCCTTTAGGCTTTGACTTCATAGCTTTATGCATGACTTGGCGATGTTTATAGCTCCATCATATGTTCATTGCAGAGAGTGCCAGCAATCCATTTATTCAATGCCAGGTTTAAGGAACAAATAGGAGATGTTTTAGCTGCTCGTGCTGCATATATTCAGAGTGGGAAAGAGACAGATTCAGACTTTGTGGAGAATGTTATATCAAAAGCTAATATGGAAAAACGTTTGGTATGCAATTAGCCTTTACTACAATTGAAGAATAATTAACTCTGCAATGCCCGGATACAGAAAAGTGACTGCATGTGCTGCTTTTTATATTTGTTGCAGGGAAATATGGAATCAGCTTTCAGTATATACAAAGAAGCACTACAAATGGCTGCAGCACAGGAAAAGTTACATGCTCTCCCCATTTTATATGTTCATTTTTCTCGGCTAAAATATATGGTAGGTAGTAAGCTCATCTGCTTGGAGTATTCGGGTCTTAACAAATTTTTTTTTATTGATGTGATTGATGATTCTCTAATTATTATGATAAAAATCATTCAGTCAAGATTTTGAGAACATTCATTTTCCTCTATAATTTTCATTTTTTCTTTTGATTGGCTCCTTCTAGATTCTACTGGAAGAAATTCAGATCTTTGGATATCACTACTAATGATAATCCAAGTACCATAAAAGAATTCAATTGGAGGGAATAAATTATACTTTCTCATAAAGTTGAGCTTGAAGTATATACTATATAGTACATCTTTTAGTTCCTTAATTTAATGAGAAAATTCTTTTTCCTTATAAAATATTTTATTTCTTCGATTCCCAATTTATAATTGTATACAGTTTGATGCACCAATTAGAAACTAGGAGTATGTAATTGAAATAATTCAAAATTTGAGGGTCAAAGAAATTTCTCACAAACAGGAGTTGTAATTATATTTAAATTGTTTTATTATCTCAAACACACTTAGTTCATTGGCTCATTGTGTGTATGTGTCTCTGCTTCCTTTAACCCTTGCTTACATTTTGTACAATTGAAGAATATTTGTATTATATCTTAAAAGTATATGTAAGTGCATGCTTGCACTTCCTAGGTAGAGATCTTGAACTTTTTCCTTGTTGGAAAGTACACATGTAGTTACTGTACCATGTCAGTTTATTAGTATCCTTATTGTTGTATACTTTTTCTTTGCTGTGAGAAAACTGTAAAATACTATGCTGTAAATTATCTCATTATATCATCTACATTAGGAAATTTTCTGTAATAGATTTCATTCATAGAACTATACACATTTAATTCTACCTTTTATTCAATTAGGAAATCCCCAAAATCTGAGATTCTAACGTTAAAATATTTTCCTTTTTTGTCAAGGCTGACTGTGTATAAATTCAGCCTATCTACTATCAGTAATATCATCAATAATAGAAATACATTCTTCAAATTCTGAGATTTTCTTTTTCTTGTCACTAGCATAATCCATTGGATTGTCTGGAAAGGTTTCTTCCTATCACTGTTTTCCCTCCTTTGTTTATTGTTTCTTTCTTTTCATACCAGCAATACATTTGGCTCTGTTGATGGAAAGTCAAAGGGAATAACTTTCGTTTGAGTTAGAGAATTGGTCGGGGTACCTTTAGGCTATCATTACTCATTACAATTAGTGACTGACAAAGGGTTGAAGCAAGCTTATCAAAATTATACTAGGAGGAATTCTTCAAAATGGAAAACAAGAAAGAAAAAAAAAAAACCTGTCATTTCTTTATTGCATGCTGATGTCAGATGTAGTTAACTAATAATATTTTTTCCCCCTCTTGTTCCTCTCTTGGCGTTAAGAGTACAAACAACGTGGATGCTGCTAGAGATGTCTTAGTTGATGGGATCAGAACTTTGCCTCAAAATAAATTGCTTCTGGAGGTATGTTTGTCTTTTCTAATATATTACTAATATAACTTTTGTGAAAATAGATAGACCTAAGCTCGAACTGTTCCCAGTAAGCATGCATGTATATACACTCGTCTGGGCTGAGTTATCAACTGCTTTATAGAAGACCTATTGAAACACCAGATAAGAAAGCTTTTCATTACTTGCTGTTAGATATACACGGAGAGGCCAATTCATACTGGCAGAATAAGTCAAACTATCTAGTTGCTTCTGACCTACATGGATTGTGGGACTTCTTCCAACACCCTCCCTCAATTATGGGTTAAAGGCTTTAGGTGTTTGAATTACCCACTAAACTAAAATGTGGAACTAGAAAAGGGAAGTTCATATTCTCTCCAGATTGCAGCATTATCAAAACCAATTCACCTTACCCCATCAGGCAAAACCTCTTTTGAGCTGGTGTGAACTGTTAGAGATGTAATTCAAAACCATTTACTTGTCTTCACATAATAGTTTAAAACTTTTAGGAGAGTTGGTTCATAACATGGTATTAGAGTCTTTATTACAAAGTGGTCTTAGAATTCAATCTTTGTCGTCCCCATTCTTCCAAATAAAAAGTTAAATTTCAGTACGAGGTAGGTGTACTTGTGCATTGTTCACGCGTCAAGCCCAAAGGACTCTTGCATCTTGCATGAGGGGGCGTGGGCGTGTTAGAGATGTTATATAAAACGATTTATGTGTCTTCATCTAACAACTTAAGCTTTTGGGAGAGTTGTTCCTGACATGAATAAAGCTTAGGCTCACCAATAACTAGTGCTTACTGCTTAAATTGGCAAGATCAAAGTTTTGGCCACTCGAGAATGGTTTCATTTCTATCAAGCTTGAGCTGTTAGGCGTTGGCTTAGGAATGATTTTATTCTAACAACCATCAATTTTGTTTTTTGGGATAAAATCATCATATTTAAAATTAAATAATGATAAAATTTCTTCAATTGTTTTGGTGTTCTTTTTCAGGAGTTGATAAAGCTCTTAATGGTGCATGGAGGGCCAAAGCACATGGCTGTGATAGATTCAATTATTGCAGATGCAATATCTCCAAGGTCTGATGGATCTCAAAGTCTGAGTGCAGAAGATGCAGAGGATATATCGAACTCATACCTGGAGGTTATATTTTTAATATGAACTCAATTATACTTGAGTCCATCATTATGATTTAGGATTAAAGTAATATAAGGTTGATCCGTTCTTTTTATTTATTAGTCATTTTTCTTAAGATTGGATTTGGACCCGTTCATATTAGCTAAATTTATAACCCTGTGCTTGTGCAGGTAATTACTCTTTAATTATGCACAATATAGTGTTGTTGACTTCGTAAAAATAAACTGATGGCTTTTACTCTTTCCAACAAGTTTTTTTCTTTCATCTCAGAAAATGCTCATTAACATGTATTCATTTTATTGAAAAGAAAGAAAATAAAGTATTTTGAACTTTTTATTGTTTGTTTGGTTTACTAGGGATTGATCCTATTTATACTAACATTTTTATTGTAAATTTTTGCCGCTTGAGCTAAGCCCACCTAGAAATTTTGATACTAGCATTTCAATGTTGATAACAGTTTGTTGACTATTGTGGAACCATACATGATGTACGGAAGGTATGGAATCGGCACCTAAAATTATTTCCAGACTCTGCCAGGATAGATTTACATCAGCAATCAGCTAAATGTAGATCACTATGTTCGATTAAGGACAAGAGAGAAGTGATTTTTGTTGCCATGCCTAATCAAGCATCTAGAGATTCTAGCTCTGACTCGCATGCTCATTTACCTCAACAAGACAAGAAAGGGTCATTGATGAAATATTGTGATACCCAGTCTGATGCTACTAATGATGGATTAATGTTGATGGAAAATCATATTACTCAGTCAGATGATACAGGTACTTACAGGCTTCAAATCAGGGAATCAGATGACAACGCAAAAGATAAAGGAAGAGAATTACCTCTCCCAGTTTCTGAGGAGCCAAGAGATAATGATCCTGAAAATAATGTGCCATCTTCAGATTTAGTGCAAGTGAAAGAGGAATCTATCAAAGTTGTTAAGAATTTAAAAAAAAATCATTCTGAATCTGAATTTTCATCAGAAAATTTATTACTTCAAACTGCCAGTGGAAGTCAAGTCTCACAAGCTTTGCAAGCATCTAAAAATGAAAATGCTGCTTTTTCTGAGGGAAAGTGTGAGCTTGAGCCTGAAGAATTGGAGCCACCTTCTCTGAGAAGTATGTCATTGAACCCCCATGAAAGAACATGCCCATGCCCTGATTCAGGACCAATGACGTCTCAGGAGGAGCGCGGCACAATTCCAGAAAGCAGCAAGTCAAATAGTAGAGCAGTAGTGGGTGGTCATACTGCGAATCAAGACAACTCTGCAAGCACTCAAGATTCAGAGTCTGCCCAAATTCACGTTGAAATAAACAGTCCATATTCAGCATGCCATCGAGATCATAGAACAAAAGGACCACTTGTTCCACCCCGGTTTTCTAGAAATAGTGGTGGAAACTGGCATCAAATGAGGAATGCTGGTAAATTTCGTAGAGGTCCCAAATATGGTTATCGCGGATATACACAGAGAAAACAGCACCAACGGCAGCATCCGTCTCCACAACAGATCCATCCAGCTGAAGTGGGAGTACAAATGCCTGCAACTCCAGGTTTTTCTTCCCAATCTGTATTGCAAGTTCAGCAATGCAGTCAAGGACAAAATCAGTTTCAAGTTGCAGCTACTCCTACTGATTTTATGGCAGCTAATAGTTGGCCTATACAAAACATTCAGATACAAAACTCTCTATCTCAGTCTCAATCACCAGCCAATACCACATCACAGGTATTGCAACAAGCAATGCAAGGCAATGGGCAATATGGGTATATGCAGAATGGCCAAGAATATAATCAGATATGGCAATACTATTACTACCAACAGCAACAGCAGTTGCAGCTACAACAACATTATATTCAATTGCAACAACAATCATTGCAGCAAGAACAGTCACTACAAGTTCAAGAACAAAGTCAGCTAGAATGTCTTCAACCACAACAGCTGCAACAAATGCAGTTGCAACAACTGGTTCTGCAGCAGCAGCAGTACTTTCAACAGCTGCAACCTCAGCAGCAAGAGCATCCTGTTTCCCTTCAGCAGATGCAGCCATCAATTCAGGTACTGTAAGTGTTGTAATTATGGGTTTTTGTAGTAGGAAAAGAGAATATGAATATGTAAGGTACCAGACATACAGAGACTGATATTGGAAATAAAAACTGGTAACTCTGTATATTATGCTGATATCAATAAGATATCAGAGGCATGGGTGAATAAATACAAGAAGAATATGATAGACTTCCGAGAACATTTCTAGAGGTCTGGGTTCTCTCCCAACTTCTATCTTAATCCCTTCTTATCCTCCATAACCTATTTAACACTGCTGAGTGCTGATAGTTACCAAGCAGTTACTGAGGCTATCAACTACAGCAGTTACTGCCTACATCACACACCTACAACCATCCTAACTACGTTGGTTTGTGATCCCCTAACTGCCTAATCCCCTACATCCTATTAATTGGGATGTGACCCCTTACTGCCCTTCCTACTGTACATCCACAGGATAGGCAGTTTCCTTAAAGTATTCCCCCTAAGACTCGCACCTTGTCCTCAACGTGGAACTCAGGAAATTGCTGATTAATTTCTGCTGATGATTCCTAGTACTCTCAAAAACATGAAGATGCAGTGCAGCCACTTAATCAACACTTCTACAGTCCCATCCTCAGCAACTCTGAACTTTGTGGTTATTATATATGGTTTTGTCATTATTTTGGTTACTCTTTGGCTCTTTTCCAACTCTAGCATAGCATTGAGGTGCAGAAAGTCGGAAAATGTTTATCATACCCTTCTTTTCCTACAAATAGATCATTCTCCACGGATGAATCACACTAGTGGCAATATCTTTTCCCGTTGATGATTGTTTTGATGGTGACTTACGGTGGTTATGATTGACATGACACCAATCCATCTTTGTCCCAAATTCCCATCTTTGCCCTAGATATAATCTGGCCCTATCTTCTTCCTAGATGCAGTCTGGCTTGTCTTTGTCCCAGATTTTATGTCAAAGTTTTTTCCACTGTTCAAAGCTTCCAAATGTTATTTTTGATGAATTTGGAGAAGTTTTAGTTCTTGCTACTTATGGTTTCTTGCCAAGAAATTTCTTTTCATGATCGTTTTAGCGAAGTTCCTTCTTCCTTAGCCATGCAATATTCCACCTTGCACTTCAACCTACTGATCATTCCAGTCATCATGTAGAGTTATCTCTCCAACAATGTTCTATCTGGCACCTCTAACATCCCTGAGTTGCCTCTCCAAACAAATTTTATGAAGCCTACTTTATTTTTGTTATTTTCTTTTTGAGGCATTACTCTTTAACAACCTAAGTAAGCTTTAACTTCCTAAGTAAGCTTTAACTTAAGAAAGAGTGATAGAATATCTAGAAAATATTTCATAATATCTTTTTTTTCATGTTATAGTATTCTAAGGTATCTTAGATGATCTCTTAGAAGTGGTTTCCATATATTATATTTTCATGATTTGTTTCCTTAACTAATTAAAATTAGGAGTCTAATATTATTATAAATAGGGGTTAATACTTTATATTTTATATCACATCAAATCTATATTAATTTCAGATTATTCAGTCCCAATGCCCTCTTTTCCTCTTTCCTTACCTAAAATCTTGTAATTTTTACACAATGAAATAAATAGGTAAATTTGCTAAAAGATATGTATGCTTTTCTCAAGTTAAATGGACCAAATAACTGCTAGCGTTGCTCACGTTAACGGAAGCTGGAAATTATCATGCGGCTCTTGTACTGTAATATGATTTGGTTGTATATAAGGAAAAATGACCATTTTCTTGTAGGCAAATTTATTTTCGTGTATATATACTGTCTTAAAAGTAAATGGCATTTGTCAAACGTTCTAGCTGATTTTCAGCTTAAACTGAGTGGGTGAGACAGATTCTCGATGACCATCTTTTAATCAGTGGGATTGTCTGTGGTTCATCTTTCTTTGAACTCCTTTTGAACTTATAATTCTTCTTTGCAATGGCAGAGCAGCAGCCATCCCGTAGCAGACCAAGGGCAAGCAATAGTGACATCGCAGGTGAGTTAAATCAAATTCTTAATATAAAAAAATTTGGTACCTTGCATTGGGAATGAGTTGTTTTTATGTTGGTGAATTCCGTACTGGTCTTAATTTACTGCATAAATGGCTTTTTCTGGTTTTTTTTAAACATAACCTATCTCTGATTTTGTATTTTGGCCATGTAGGGCCACGGAACAATATTATCGCAACAATCAAGTGAACCTGGTTTGGTTTCTTCTCCTGTTCTGCCTCATCCCCAAGAGAAATCTACCCAAGAAGAGTGACATTTCCTTGTAGTTTTGACCGGTTTCAACTTGTAAAATTCGGAATTTACTCTGCAAGGACTTGGTCCAAAGACACTCACTTGATCTAAACATGAAATTTTTAGCAATTTCCTACTAAAAACAAAAATGTTTATATTAATTTGCATTTATAGTGGAAGAGTATGTTTGAGGTGAAAAGGCTCTTAAATTTAAGGTGTCTTGCAACTCCTGAAAATCAGATTTCCAGGTCTCGTTGAAGTTAGGGTTGATTTTATGATTGAGGTGTTTGGTTATAATGTAAATTTTGATATTTGTTCTTGCCTAAATAGCCTCTTAAACACATCTTTTCCCAATCATCACTTCCCCGATCTCCTTTGCTTTTTAATGGCAGTTGACTATGCAATGCGATCCAAGCTTTTAAAGGAATGAAATTTGCTAAATTAGCTAATTAAATTCGGATATATGAATTTCAATTTTGTGGAGCGTTATATATATATATATATATATAATACCTATTATTACATCTAACTAATACCTATTATTACATCTAACTAGGTGTGTAAATCATTATCCTTCACCATTGGACCGCCTCACCCTTTCATTATCGATGTCTTTAATAACTTTAGCCCTACGATTTTAAGAATCTTTGCAAATCACTTGTATGTTTAACTGCGACCTCTACAATTTTAAAAACCATTTGTAAATCACTTATCTATTTAACTTCAAGCTCAACAATTTCAAAAACCATTCGGAAATCAATCGTATATTTGAACTAAAATTAGTATTTAGTCTTTTCAAGTACAAGGACTCACCTCATACTTTCGTCTGCTATTTTTAATAGCAACAGTCTTATTATTTTCCATTAATAGACCTTTCGAGCTGCATTAGTTTATAGGCATCATGAATTCATCACTTCTATGTTTTTGTTGAATTGAATTTCGGAACAAACATCTGTATCAACGATCCCAGCTATATAAAATCACGAGTGAAAGCAAGCTGTCTGTTACTTCTAATTGCTAAGTTTCAAACACTTCTCAAGCCTAAAAATTATTATTAGTTGATGCAACAAAAAAACTGACCAAATTATAATTTTGAGCTATATTAAAATGAATCATATCGAAAATTGAAATTAGTGTTCATTAAGAAAACAGTTTAGGAAATCTTAGCGATCATATTTTTAGTTTACGATAAATCAAAAGAAAGAAAGAAAGAATGGTTAACCACATAACAAACTCCTATTTGAAGATTCCAAACGACTCTTAATTAATTTAGCCTGTATTGGAAATATGGTCAAGCAGAATATCTAAAATAACAAGGGATTAGAACTTTAGGTATACTGAACATGCCTTGATAATTTATTTCGATCAAAATCATCACTAGTTGCAGTTCAAATAAGTATAATCACCAAACAGTAAGCTAGACTAAACTAAACGGTTGTATGAGTTCGTAATACTTTTCATGGTGACCCAGAAAACTCAAACAGTGCATTCAATCACATCACATGATCATATTCAACTAAAGGTATAAACAAAATGTATAAAAAAAGTTCATTTACTTCAACTTCCATTTTTTATTCACTTTCCAACATTTTGTATTAGTATACACTATACAATAAATCCAACAGTTCTGGTTAGAATGTTAGGCATTCATCCCAGCCAAAATGTGTGTTGTACAGGCAACAAGAGCAAAGTGAAGCAGTGAATCATTAATATTTTTCATCACAATCAAGGTCAATCATTCAAGGCAAAGTAAGAAATGGCCCGGTGCAACAAATAAAGAAAAGAAAGCTAAATAGATAGATAGATAGACAAATAGAGAGAGAGAGAGAGAGAGGAAAGAGATGAACTAACAATAATGATTTAACATTTCAAGTGGAATTTTACAACTGCTGCATCACTGTGCTTCAGGTAATGAAGGTGAAGCATCAGTAAAATATTATTGCAAAACTCCCTAGACAAAAATGTGTATTCCAAAACTTCTGCAGTCAATTACAAATACTTGCAAAACTCCTGGACAATAATTGTGTAATCCAAATTTACATACCTATTAGACTGCCATTAAGGGGATAATCTATTATGTTTTCTTCACGAACCTGCAGATAATGGATCCAAAATTATGAATGCTATGTAGATTTCAAGAAATAGCAGACAATCATCAAAGAACTGATAGTCAGCTTTACACAGGCCAAAATCCATCTACTTCAAATCAGAACTTAATGGCTTGAATACTTTAAAAAATAAAATAAAATAAAAAAGCAAAACTTGAGGTTGGTCAGCTCAAATAACTTTTGCCACAAGCCTGCTCCCTGCCCTTCAGAAGGAACCACATCATCGCCACCCTTCCATTTGTTCACATATAGCTGCATCCATTTCAGTTCAATTTCCACTGTATTAGTTGATGGCGTGAGCTCAAGCATGATTTATTATGTTTTCATCTCAGGCAAAACCCATTTATTATATCTTATGTGCATGCATCATATAAAATCCTGTATTTTAGGAGAGATATCAAATCCCTTAATCTTAGGGATTGAATAGAATCAATTTTAATATTTTGTCAATCAGTAGACTGTCTTGTATGTGTTGTACTCTCACAAACATAATAAGCACCATATTCTTGAATCGCAAGGGCTCTCCTTATAGGTGGTTCTGAGATGTAACATTTGATGAATTAGATGTCTTCTCGGGTGAACCTCAAAACACTGATACAATGCTTGGCTGAACATGTGGAACTCCCTTCCATCTTGACCATACCACCTAAGGTTTTCGGGTATGTGGCATTGTTCATCTCCACAAAAATCAACGGAGACCCTTGAGCTGAGCAATGTGTACTCATTGTTTATAGCCCACACCAGAAGGACCACTGCTACAATCCAATAACTAAGAAGACCCATGTCATCATGGATATCATGTTCATGGGGTCTGAGTTCTTCTCTCATCCCACCCCTATTCGTGAAGAGAATCAAGATTCAAATAAGAATTGGTGGGAAAAACTCTTTCCTGGTGTTTGGGATGCAAATGAAGAGAATGATGTGGCACCACTTCCTGATCCCATTCCAAAATTAGAATCTTCTGCGGAAAGGATATGCTCAACAGATCACTTCCAATTAAGATAAACAGACTCCACTGTCTCAAAATATTCCATCTTAAGTACCCGACCAATCTCCTGTGCATGCTCCTGAGGTGAGTTCTACTACTCTATATCTCTTGAGATAAGACTAATATGTACACCAAGTATAAACTTCCTGAATATCTTGGTCAGTAGAGTTCCGGGTGGGGTAGAAGAAGTTCTAAAGGATCCTAAATGGGTGCAAGCTACAAAGGAGTGCAAACTTTGGACAGAAATCACATGTGGAATCTCGTTAATTACTAGGTGAAAAAAGCATTGGGATGTAAGTGGGTTTTCACTATAAAGTGTCGGTCGGATGGCATGATAGAAAGTAACAAAAGCACATGCAGTTGCAAAAGGATATCAAATGTTAGCATGCAAGCTAGCTGACAGTCCTATCATTCAAAATCACAAGCTTGGAGAGGATTCAGAACAAGTAGCAACCACTAAAGAAAGATATCAAAGTTTAGTAGGAAGATTGATTTATCTATCCCACACACGTCCTTACATTGCCCATGTAATGAGTGTTGAGTCAGTTCACTTATGCTCCATGGAAGCATCATATGAATGAAGTGTTTAGAGTTTTTGATAAGACACCTCTGAGGGTGTATAGTAGAAGACGTCACAGAGGATCAGCTCAAGGGGGGTCAGCTGAGGTGGCAGGGAATATTTTAGATGGAAGGAATTCAGTTAGAAGGGAAGGAGAGGCACATGATGTGAGGGCTGACGTGGCTGCCTTAAGCGAGTAAATGGTTATAAGGAGGGTGTGGCATGGAAGGAGAAAGGCAGGCTGGATTTGGAATGAACTTGGGAGAGAGCACACCTCTCGAAAGTGTTGCATTCGTGACTGTTCATTGCGTTATTCCTTTATGCAATTCATAGCTGTAGCTGTTCTGCATTTTCTTCTTGTTATTGTAATTGTTAGACAAACTATTTTCCTTCTTTCTTAGATGTATTCAGTTTTCATTATCAATATAAAAAATCCAGTAAGTTCTGGGCCAAATTCCCCTGTGTTTTCATTTCTTTTGTTGGCAATCTGATCCAGTCTTAACAACTGGTATCAGAGCACTCCGATCTGGGGTGCTTTGAATGGTTCTGACGCGCAACATGGACAACCGATTTGAGATTTTAGAAGAGAGGCTAAGAAGCAACGAGGCGTTGGTGGAGGAACGCTTCCGGCAAAATGAACAAAGACTCAATGAAATACTGCAGCTATTGCAAGACGACCGTCATCGCAGAGGGCACCGTAATCATGAGGGAAATCGTCGTCGTGGTCGCTCACGGAGGGTGAGCCTTGAATCCACAGAATCTGACAATAGATTCGAGACGGAGGCGGACATGCGTAGAACGGGATGGCAAAGCCCAAGACTAGATCTACCAAGATTCTCAGGAGATGATGTGTACTCCTGGCTGAACAAGGTGGAGAGATTCTTCTTAATTAATAGAATCCCAGACAGAGACAAGGTGGAATCTGTGATGGTGGTATTGGAAGGTCCTGCTCTGAATTGGTATCAGGTGTGGGAGCGCGACAACCCTAATGCGTCGTGGGCAGACTTCAGAGCAGACGCAATGGAGCGATTTCAATTGGAGGTGAGTGGAAGTCCCTACCAGGAATTAATGAATCTGAGACAAACTGGAAGTGTGGCAGTTTACAGGGCTGAATTTGAACGGATCATTGGCCCCCTCCATTATGCTGATGAGCATATGTTAAGGGAAATATGGCTCCATGGCATTTGTGACAGCTTCCGTATTGAGTTGTTGTAGAGAAACGTCACAAGTTTGGCTGAGATGATGAGAGAGACGATGCTGATGGAGAAACGGAACGCTGCGTGGATTGGAGATGGGTTTGGAATTAACGGAGGAGTAAGATGGGCTGGACTAGGTAGGACAAATCAGCCAAATCGAATTGGGCCAAGCTCAACGAGTAACAAACAAGGGCCCAATCACGCAACCCAGCTCAATCAGACGTCGAGAAATGACGCTTCTGCCCCTAATAATGTGGCTGAGAATAACACGCGTGTCTC